CCACTACGCCACTGAGCTGGTATGAACCTGAAACCTTGGAAAACCTGTGTGCCAAAGCCGTTTACTTTTCTGTTTCATGGGAAAAATTCACACACACACACACACACACACACACACACACACACACACACACACACACACACACACACACACACAAAACGTGTTGGATTATTAGAAAAGTGATAAAAACATAAATCTAGAATCTAAAAAGATAAAAAAGTTCTTATTGGGCTCAGTAATGGCAGCAGGGACAAAACGCCTCCATCCAGAGGGAAGGAGCTGAAACTCCTGCGTCCAGAGGGAAGGAGCTGAAACTCTTCCATCCAGAGGGAAGGAGCTGAAAATCCTCCTTTAGGGAAAGGAGCTGAAACTCCTCCGTTCAGAGGGAAAGAGCTGAAACTCCTCCTTTAGGGGAAGGAGCTGAAACTCCTCCTTTAGGGGAAGGAGCTGAAACTCCTCCTTTAGGGGAAGGAGCTGAAACTCCTCCGTTCAGAGGGAAGGAGCTGAAACTCCTCCTTTAGGGAAAGGAGCTAAAACTCCTCCGTTCAGAGGGAAAGAGCTGAAACTCCTCCTTTAGGGGAAGGAGCTGAAACTCCTCCTTTAGGGGAAGGAGCTGAAACTCCTCCTTTAGGGGAAGGAGCTGAAACTCCTCCTTTAGGGGAAGGAGCTGAAACTCCTCCTTTAGGGGAAGGAGCTGAAACTCCTCCTTTAGGGGAAGGAGCTGAAACTCCTCCTTTAGGGAAAGGAGCTGAAACTCCTCTGTTCAGAGGGAAAGAGCTGAAACTCCTCCTTTAGGGGAAGGAGCTGAAACTCCTCCTTTAGGGGAAGGAGCTGAAACTCCTCCATCCAGAGGGAAGGAGCTGAAACTCCTCCTTTAGGGGAAGGAGCTGAAACTCCTCCGTTCAGAGGGAAGGAGCTGAAACTCCTCCATCCAGAGGGAAGGAGCTGAAACTCCTGCGTCCAGAGGGAAGGAGCTGAAACTCCTCCTTTAGGGGAAGGAGCTGAAACTCCTCCATCCAGAGGGAAGGAGCTGAAACTCCTCCATCCAGAGGGAAGGAGCTGAAACTCCTGCGTCCAGAGGGAAGGAGCTGAAACTCCTCCTTTAGGGAAAGGAGCTAAAACTCCTCCGTTCAGAGGGAAGGAGCTGAAACTCTTCCATCCAGAGGGAAGGAGCTGAAAATCCTCCTTTAGGGGAAGGAGCTGAAACTCCTCCTTTAGGGAAAGGAGCTGAAACTCCTCCGTTCAGAGGGAAAGAGCTGAAACTCCTCCTTTAGGGGAAGGAGCTGAAACTCCTCCATCCAGAGGGAAGGAGCTGAAACTCCTCCATCCAGCGGGAAGGAGCTGAAACTCCTCCATCCAGAGGGAAGGAGCTGAAACTCCTCCATCCAGAGGGAAGGAGCTGAAACTCCTGCGTCCAGAGGGAAGGAGCTGAAACTCCTGCGTCCAGAGGGAAGGAGCTGAAACTCCTCCTTTAGGGAAAGGAGCTGAAACTCCTCCATCCAGAGGGAAGGAGCTGAAACTCCTCCTTTAGGGAAAGGAGCTGAAACTCCTCCATCCAGAGGGAAGGAGCTGAAACTCCTCCTTTAGGGGAAGGAGCTGAAACTCCTCCGTTCAGAGGGGAGGAGCTGAAACTCCTCCGTCCAGAGGGGAGGAGCTGAAACTCCTCCGTTCAGAGGGAAGGAGCTGAAACTCCTGCGTCCAGAGGGAAGGAGCTGAAACTCCTCCTTTAGGGGAAGGAGCTGAAACTCCTCCTTTAGGGGAAGGAGCTGAAACTCCTGCGTCCAGAGGGAAGGAGCTGAAACTCCTGCGTCCAGAGGGAAGGAGCTGAAACTCCTCCTTTAGGGGAAGGAGCTGAAACTCCTCCATCCAGAGGGAAGGAGCTGAAACTCCTCCATCCAGAGGGAAGGAGCTGAAACTCCTGCGTCCAGAGGGAAGGAGCTGAAACTCCTGCGTCCAGAGGGAAGGAGCTGAAACACCTCCTTTAGGGAAAGGAGCTGAAACTCCTCCTTTAGGGAAAGGAGCTGAAACTCCTCCATTCAGAGGGGAGGAGCTGAAACTCCTCCGTTCAGAGGGGAGGAGCTGAAACTCCTGCGTCCAGAGGGAAGGAGCTGAAACTCCTGCGTCCAGAGGGAAGGAGCTGAAACTCCTCCATCCAGAGGGAAGGAGCTGAAACTCCTGCGTCCAGAGGGAAGGAGCTGAAACTCCTGCGTCCAGAGGGAAGGAGCTGAAACTCCTCCATCCAGAGGGAAGGAGCTGAAACTCCTGCGTCCAGAGGGAAGGAGCTGAAACTCCTGCGTCCAGAGGGAAGGAGCTGAAACTCCTCCATCCAGAGGGAAGGAGCTGAAACTCCTCCTTTAGGGAAAGGAGCTGAAACTCCTCCATCCAGAGGGAAGGAGCTGAAACTCCTCCTTTAGGGAAAGGAGCTGAAACTCCTCCATCCAGAGGGAAGGAGCTGAAACTCCTCCTTTAGGGGAAGGAGCTGAAACTCCTCCATCCAGAGGGAAGGAGCTGAAACTCCTGCGTCCAGAGGGAAGGAGCTGAAACTCCTCCTTTAGGGAAAGGAGCTGAAACTCCTCCATCCAGAGGGAAGGAGCTGAAACTCCTCCATCCAGAGGGAAGGAGCTGAAACTCCTGCGTCCAGAGGGAAGGAGCTGAAACTCCTGCGTCCAGAGGGAAGGAGCTGAAACTCCTCCATCCAGAGGGAAGGAGCTGAAACTCCTCCTTTAGGGAAAGGAGCTGAAACTCCTCCATCCAGAGGGAAGGAGCTGAAACTCCTCCTTTAGGGAAAAGAGCTGAAACTCCTCCATCCAGAGGGAAGGAGCTGAAACTCCTCCTTTAGGGGAAGGAGCTGAAACTCCTCCATCCAGAGGGAAGGAGCTGAAACTCCTGCGTCCAGAGGGAAGGAGCTGAAACTCCTCCTTTAGGGAAAGGAGCTGAAACTCCTCCATCCAGAGGGAAGGAGCTGAAACTCCTCCATCCAGAGGGAAGGAGCTGAAACTCCTGCGTCCAGAGGGAAGGAGCTGAAACTCCTGCGTCCAGAGGGAAGGAGCTGAAACTCCTCCATCCAGAGGGAAGGAGCTGAAACTCCTCCTTTAGGGAAAGGAGCTGAAACTCCTCCATCCAGAGGGAAGGAGCTGAAACTCCTCCTTTAGGGAAAGGAGCTGAAACTCCTCCATCCAGAGGGAAGGAGCTGAAACTCCTGCGTCCAGAGGGAAGGAGCTGAAACTCCTCCTTTAGGGAAAGGAGCTGAAACTCCTCCATCCAGAGGGAAGGAGCTGAAACTCCTTCGTTCAGAGGGAAAGAGCTGAAACTCCTGCGTCCAGAGGGAAGGAGCTGAAACTCCTCCATCCAGAGGGAAGGAGCTGAAACTCCTCCGTTCAGAGGGAAAGAGCTGAAACTCCTCCTTTAGGGGAAGGAGCTGAAACTCCTCCATCCTGAGGGAAAGAGCTGAAACTCCTCCATCCAGAGGGAAGGAGCTGAAACTCCTCCGTTCAGAGGGAAGGAGCTGAAACTCCTGCGTCCAGAGGGAAGGAGCTGAAACTCCTCCTTTAGGGAAAGGAGCTGAAACTCCTCCTTTAGGGAAAGGAGCTGAAACTCCTCCTTTAGGGAAAGGAGCTGAAACTCCTCCTTTAGGGAAAGGAGCTGAAACTCCTCCATCCTGAGGGAAAGAGCTGAAACTCCTCCATCCAGAGGGAAGGAGCTGAAACTCCTCCGTTCAGAGGGAAGGAGCTGAAACTCCTGCGTCCAGAGGGAAAGAGCTGAAACTCCTCCTTTAGGGAAAGGAGCTGAAACTCCTCCGTCCAGAGGATGGGAGCATTTATTAAGAGTCGATGAAGCTATCCTCTTTGAACTCAGATTCATAATCACCTTTTATTTGTTTTATGATCGTTTTATAGTTTCATGACTTTGTGTTTCCTGATATCAATTGAAGTTCTGATATTTTTGTTGATTAGTTTTTATTATCATTATGATTTTACAACTTTGTGATGAGTGTTGTATTAATCAGATGTACCTACTTCCTGTTTGGAGTACAGAGAGGTGACTCAGAGCTGTGACCCACCTATCACATGACAGGACCATCTCATCATCTGACCTGATCCTTATCTCTTTGACAGAAGTCAAATCTCAAAACATCAACAGACTTTTATACTTTTTACCAACATTTTGGCTTCATTCTGAGAATCTGTAAAAACTTTTTCAACATTGAAACATTTCAACTCAACAATTAAAACTTTAATCTGGATCTTTGTGGGTTGATTATAATAAAAATATATCTTTTTATGTCCTCAAAACAGGAAGAACTGAGTTTGCCTTTTAGGTGTGTTGTTAACTCATTCACTGCCATCGATGACTAAAGTCGTCATTTGCATGTTTTTACCGTGTGGGCGTCGGACGAGCCCCCGCACCATGAGAACAAACACCTCAGCTCTAAAGCCGATCTTCATCCGCATCCGTCACACATCACGTGATCAGGAAGCAGAACATCCATGTGTTAGGAGATCGTTTTGGGCCGCTGCTGTAAAAAAAGTGAGGCGCGAACCGAAAAAGCTTCTGCCGATCATAATTCAACAACGGATTATGAAAGAACGGATAACGCTCGAAACGTGCGGATTCTTCCTGATGTAAGAGGTGAGTCTCCGCTTTGTTTTGGTTGTTTTAGCGTCGACGTCATCCTAGCACGCAACGCTCTGTCACTCTAAACAAAACAGTACAAACGGTGAAAAACGCTGGCAGCGACGGGCTTCACAGGATCAGAAAGCGGCTGGCAGTGAATGAGTTAAGAGTTGGATGTGAAAAATCTCCTGCAGCAGCGACAGCATGCAGACATTTTTGTGAAATACAATTTAAATCAGTGGAAATATTTTTTAAATCAACAGCTCAGCTGCAGTTATAGGTGAAGAATAAAACACTCTGACTGCCTGGAACTGCCGGTTTCCTCTGAGTCATTCAGACACATTCAGCTGTGTGGCGTAAACCCCGCCTCATGAGCGGTTAGTTACCGGGTACTGGTGGTAGTCGTAGAGGTTTCCGTAGTAGGGAGAGTATCGTGGCGGCTGGTAGAAGTTGTAATAGGTCTCCAGCAGCAGGTCAGACGCTCCTTCGGTGAGACTTCTGGAAACAGCTGACGGACTGGACGAGGCGTGACTCCCTGAGAGAAACGAGGGGAGAAAAATAAAGGACTTGAGGATCGTGGGTTTATTTTTGCAACTAAATGATTAGATGAGTCAACTCTAGTTTTGATATATTATGAATAAATTACATCAAGCCATGAAAATACGTTTTTATTTATGAGAGAAAACATTTTTGTTTCCGAGGGGAAAAAGTTTCAGCTTCAGCAGAAAAAAAGCGCTTCAGCTGCATCCTCTAACTGGAAACCAAAGTTCAAACCAGCCTACAGAGCTGACAACAGCACCCCCTGCTGGTGGCAGATGTGTCCCGCATCACAGACTGTTGTCACAATGGGGATGAAAGTGAGCGAGGATGTTCAGGATGTTCAAAACAACATAATTACTGCTAAGGTCTTATCAGCAAGGCCACATTCTTCTCACGCGGCCACTGAGTTCCATTTTCACACAAAGGAGACGCTGTCTACCCCCAGACACCAACAGATAATGTCATCGCCGTATCAAAGCGTGCTCGCCTCCCTGCAACTGCTGTCTCGGCAGCCGAGAAAAAAATTCAACTTCCACTCCAGCAGGAGCGACACCCGGCCTTGACCTTTTCCATATGAGATGATGAGAGTCGCCTCCAGCCCACATCAGCAGATGATGTCATCATGCACTGTCGCTGACGCCGTTTGAGCGAAACCATTACCCGACATCATTTTCACAGAATTATTATTATTATTACATCTATTTTTACTTTTATTGCCCAAAATAAATGAAAAATGCAAAAAGAAAACCTTTCGTTGTTGTTTTCTTAAGGCAGAAGTAAGACTATTACATTTTTTTATTTAACCTAAGATCGTCCTGGCAGACAGACAGCAGCTCAGTCACAGAACGCACAGAGAACAGGTCACACCTCGCCGAAAGCCAAAAACATTCTAACCTGGTGGCACAGTCAGTAGTTTAATGCGTCGGTCACTGAACCCCGAGTCACAGCGTTCACAGCCAGATGTTTTTATTTAAATCGACTCGGTGAGACGAGTGCCTTCACATCCAGATGCTTTTAAAGTGACTCGGTGAGACGAGTGCCTTCATATCCAGATGTTTTTTAAAGTGACTCAGTGAGGCCAGAGCCTTCACATCTAGATGTTTTTAAGTGACTTGGTGAGACGAGTGCCTTCACATCCAGATGTTTTTTAAAGTGACTCAGTGAGGCCAGAGCCTTCACATCCAGATGTTTTAAAGTGACTCGGTGAGACGAGTGCCTTCACATCCAGATGTGTTAAAGTGACTTGGTGAGACGAGTGCCTTCACATCCAGATGTTTTAAAGTGACTCGGTGAGACGAGTGCCTTCACATCCAGATGTGTTAAAGTGACTTGGTGAGACGAGTGCCTTCACATCCAGATGTTTTAAAGTGACTCGGTGAGACGAGTGCCTTCACATCCAGATGTTTTAAAGTGACTTGGTGAGACGAGTGCCTTCACATCCAGATGTTTTAAAGTGACTCGGTGAGACGAGTGCCTTCACATCCAGATGTTTTAAAGTGACTCAGTGAGGCCAGAGCCTTCACATCCAGATGTTTTAAAGTGACTCGGTGAGACGAGTGCCTTCACATCCAGATGTGTTAAAGTGACTTGGTGAGACGAGTGCCTTCACATCCAGATGTTTTAAAGTGACTCGGTGAGACGAGTGCCTTCACATCCAGATGTGTTAAAGTGACTTGGTGAGACGAGTGCCTTCACATCCAGATGTTTTAAAGTGACTCGGTGAGACGAGTGCCTTCACATCCAGATGTTTTAAAGTGACTTGGTGAGACGAGTGCCTTCACATCCAGATGTTTTAAAGTGACTCGGTGAGACGAGTGCCTTCACATCCAGATGTTTTAAAGTGACTCAGTGAGGCCAGAGCCTTCACATCCAGATGTTTTAAAGTGACTTGGTGAGACGAGTGCCTTCACATCCAGATGTTTTAAAGTGACTCGGTGAGACGAGTGCCTTCACATCCAGATGTTTTAAAGTGACTTGGTGAGACGAGTGCCTTCACATCCAGATGTTTTAAAGTGACTCGGTGAGACGAGTGCCTTCACATCCAGATGTTTTAAAGTGACTTGGTGAGACCAGTGCCTTCACATCCAGATGTTTTAAAGTGACTCGGTGAGACGAGTGCCTTCACATCCAGACGTTTTTAAGTGACTCGGTGAGATGAGTGCCTTCACATCCAGATGTTTTTAAGTGACTCTGTGAGACGAGTGCCTTCAAATCCAGATGTGTTAAAGTGACTTGGTGAGACCGGTGCCTTCACATCCAGATGTTTTAAAGTGACTCGGTGAGACGAGTGCCTTCACATCCAGACGTTTTTAAGTGACTCGGTGAGACGAGTGCCTTCACATCCAGATGTTTTTAAGTGACTCTGTGAGACGAGTGCCTTCACATCCAGATGTTTTTAAGTGACTCTGTGAGACGAGTGCCTTCACATCCAGATGTTTTTTAAGTGACTCGGTGAGACGAGTGCCTTCACATCCAGATGTTTTTTAAGTGACTCGGTGAGACGAGTGCCTTCACATCCAGATGTTTTTTAAGTGACTTGGTGAGACGAGTGCCTTCACATACAGATGTTTTTTAAGTGACTCGGTGAGACGAGTGCCTTCACATCCAGATGTTTTTTAAGTGACTCGGTGAGACGAGTGCCTTCACATCCAGATGTTTTTGAAGTGACTCTGTGAGACGAGTGCCTTCACATCCAGATGTTTTTGAAGTGACTCTGTGAGACGAGTGCCTTCACATCCAGATGTTTTTGAAGTGACTCTGTGAGACGAGTGCCTTCACATCCAGATGTTTTTGAAGTGACTCTGTGAGACGAGTGCCTTCACATCCAGATGTTTTTGAAGTGACTCTGTGAGACGAGTGCCTTCACATCCAGATGTTTTTAAGTGACTCGGTGAGACGAGTGCCTTCACATCTAGATGTTTTTTTGAAGAGACTCGGTGAGACGAGTGCCTTCACATCCAGATGTTTTTGAAGTGACTCTGTGAGACGAGTGCCTTCACATCCAGATGTTTTTGAAGTGACTCTGTGAGACGAGTGCCTTCACATCCAGATGTTTTTGAAGTGACTCTGTGAGACGAGTGCCTTCACATCCAGATGTTTTTGAAGTGACTCTGTGAGACGAGTGCCTTCACATCCAGATGTTTTTGAAGTGACTCTGTGAGACAAGTGCCTTCACATCCAGATGTTTTTAAGTGACTCGGTGAGACGAGTGCCTTCACATCTAGATGTTTTTTTGAAGAGACTCGGTGAGACGAGTGCCTTCACATCCAGATGTTTTTGAAGTGACTCTGTGAGATGAGTGCCTTCACATCCAGATGTTTTTGAAGTGACTCTGTGAGACGAGTGCCTTCACATCCAGATGTTTTTGAAGTGACTCTGTGAGACGAGTGCCTTCACATCCAGATGTTTTTGAAGTGACTCTGTGAGACGAGTGCCTTCACATCCAGATGTTTTTGAAGTGACTCTGTGAGACGAGTGCCTTCACATCCAGATGTTTTTGAAGTGACTCTGTGAGACGAGTGCCTTCACATCCAGATGTTTTTGAAGTGACTCTGTGAGACGAGTGCCTTCACATCCAGATGTTTTTGAAGTGACTCTGTGAGACGAGTGCCTTCACATCCAGATGTTTTTGAAGTGACTCTGTGAGACGAGTGCCTTCACATCCAGATGTTTTTAAGTGACTCGGTGAGACGAGTGCCTTCACATCTAGATGTTTTTTGAAGAGACTCGGTGAGACGAGTGCCTTCACATCCAGATGTTTTTGAAGTGACTCTGTGAGACGAGTGCCTTCACATCCAGATGTTTTTGAAGTGACTCTGTGAGACAAGTGCCTTCACATCCAGATGTTTTTAAGTGACTAGGTGAGACGAGTGCCTTCACATCTAGATGTTTTTTTGAAGAGACTCTGTGAGACGAGTGCCTTCACATCCAGATGTTTTTGGAGCTGATTTCATGAATCTGATTATCTAAATGCTCAACTGGAGCCCAGCCCAAGAACGAGTCATGTGACACAAGCAGCCTCCTGCTCATGACTCGCTCCTTCTGAAAGATAAAAGCGGTGAAACGTTACACACGCTGTTACTCTATAAAAGTTCTCGTTGACGTGTACTTTCACTTCTACGTCCCTAACTGTGAAAACACCAAAATAAAACCCGAGCAGACATTCGAACCCCGATCCTGCAGCCTTTCTCCTCTAACCAGCCTGTTTGCTGGCCTCTCCACTTCACCTGCCACTAAGGCAAAAGCACATTTTAAATCTTCCTTAAACATTAATAAAACTTTTCTTAGATACTTATTTTTCAAGCCCAGCGTAAAGGTGTTTCAGCCGTGTGTCCTGATCCACCGGAATGATGTGAATGAAGGAATTCTGCCGGAAGGCTCGGAGCAAGATTCCAGGGATGAGCATCATAAATAACCTCCTTGTTTAAAAGATTTTCAATAACAGAAACCACTTAATAGTCACTCATCTCTGAGGAATAGGTTGAAACTGTAAACCAGTACGGGGACTGGTCTGGATGGCGAGCTGACCTTTGACCTTTATAAGCAGGATCATCATTTATAGAAAGATCTGAGGTTTGATCTACTTTTGTTAGAATGTGTTACTCTTTTCATTGCATCTTTAGTCGATTATAACTTGTGGAAACGGGAACAGGGTGCTAGAGGTCATCGGGGTGTCGCTGGCAGAGACCTGACTAGCCTTAATGATGTGTTCAAGGCCCTGTCAAAGAAAAAGGCCAGACTGGTCCTGGTGGATTCGGCTCACTCTCGTCACGGTGAGTTCAGGTTGGTACCGTCCAGACGCAGGTATCTGTTGCCAAGCTGCAGGACTGAGGAACTCTTTCATCTCTGCGGTGTTGAGATGTTTCCATGGTTTTATGGAGCATGTTTGTTGTTTTTTAAGGATTTCTAGAATTTAAAACTACATTAGCCTCGTTGATGTTGAATAAATGCAGCTAAGACCTGTTTCCTAACGTTGCGATGGCTGCGGTGAAAAGGTTCGTTCTGAGAAAAGCTGCTTCAACATGTCACAAGCTTAGACACGCCCCCTTACGTCGGCACGTCCCAACCCACCTACATAAATTTGGTCACGGCGATGCTAACTAGGGGTGGGCGATATGGCCTAAAATCTATGTTGCGATATAATTAGAAAAATGTGCGATATATGACGTTCTTTTGTATATATGTCAAAAACTACTGTTTCTAAACGTACTCATACCAGAAACAATGCAGCAGCAGAATAAACATGCATCAAAAAGTATAAAATGCCATTTTAAGAATATTTATTGTGCAAAAATCTAAAAGCTTTTCAAGTAATTTTTAAGATGTGTAACAGATCTTTCTTCCAAAAAAATGGAACACACCATTCTTTAATAAAAAATACAATTTTGGATATTTTAAACAAAAATACGAGTAAAAGTTAGCAAAACACAAAAGTTTATCAAATAAAGTGAAAAATGTAAAACAAAAAACATTTTTCCTTCTTTCCTGATTACTTATTTATATCACACAAAATAAAGCTGCACATATTAGAACTACAAACTCTCAACAGAACACATTTCTAACCTGCAATATCAATTGCAACTATGAACATTAAACATCAGTGTTTGTGCTCCTTGTCAGCAGTGATTAAACTTTCCTGCACATCAGAGGTTGTTTGCCAGGAACACCAGTTTGTTCACAGTCTCGGGCTTCAGTGCAGATCTGTGACATGTTACTACGTTGCCACTAGTGCTGGATGCTCTTTCCGAGGGGGCACTCGTGGCAGGAATACAAAGGTATTACTTGGCTAGGCTTGCCACCCTGGGAAAATTGGCCTGGAGCGCAGCGCTCCTCCGTTCCTCCTTGAGAGCGGGGGGTAAGGGTGGGGGGGGGGCACACGTTCCGCTGCTGTTTCTCACCAGTATCAGCTGATGGAGGGCTCTCGTTTCGTTGCACCGTTCGTGTCAGCGGACACGGTAGGGTCGGGGAGGGGGGGGGGCATGACGCTTAGCCTGGCGGATGGGCAGGCTTATAAAGCGCTCGGGGAAACCCTGACATTGTTCTGCTCCACATCTGACTCCTTAAAGCCAAACCAAGTCCAAATGACCCATGTTGCACCGGTCTTCTTTACGAGAACCTCCTCCTCCACAGGCTCCATGTTTTCAGCCTCAACAGATGCCGCTTGATGATGATGTCATCAACATGCGCTATCGCGATAGGTCGATATTGTCAAACTCTCTACCGTTGGCCAAATTAATATAATTTCTACCGTATACCGTTTATACCGCCCACCCCTAACGCTAACCACAGACTAACACTCGCCCAACTACTGCTAACATCCTTGTTGGAGAGGAAAACCACACAGAATGCCGGACGAAGCCCACATGAAATGTTCCAGGATGAACCAGGAATATCCAGACTCTGACTAAAGGCCAGATAGATCCATAGCTTGAGTTATTCAGAAAGGAACAGAACCATTTGGGTAAACTGGCCAATCAGTGCACTGCTCATTAAATATGTTGCGCGTGCGTGCGTGCGTGTGTGTGTGTGTGTGTGTGTGTGTGTGTGTGTGTGTGTGTGTGTGTGTGTGTGTGTGTGTGTGTGTGTGTGTGTGTGTGTCTGCTCTGTCTTCTCCATCCCCAGTGAGTCGTGGAGGATGGCTGCTTATACTGAGCCGGGATTCTCTGGAGATTTCTTCCTGTTAAAAGGGAGTTTTCCTCTCCACTGTCGCTTTATGCTTGCTTAGTATGAGGATTGCTGTATAGTCACTGACACTAGTCAGTGACTTGATGCAATTTGCTGGGTTCCTTATATAGGAAACATTATTTCTGATTGGCTTAATGAACTGACCTGGATTGGAATGTTTATTATGTGAAGTGCCTTGAGACGACTCTTGTCGTGATTTGGTGCTATGTAAATAAACTTGAATTGAATTGAATTATGTATGTCCTGGCGCCGAGGGAGCGGGGCAAACCAGCGTTTCTATTGTAGGACTGTATTAAGGGCTTGTGTTTGCTCATTTATCAGGGTTCCTGGACCAACCCAACAAAGCTTCATGTGTTATATAGAGGCTCAGAGAACAGTTATTCTAGAACCCCTTTAAGGTGCTGTGTGTGAAACCCCCGGGGGATAATAAAGACTCCTGATCTTCTTGTGTCTGATAAGTAAAATAGAACCAAAAAACCTTCTACAACTGATGAAATGCTGTTTTTTTGGAATCTGGGAACCAATTTTCAACATTTGCCAGCGTCTCAACAGTCCTACCAGCCACAGCTGTAGATGGGCCAGGAATGTTGCTGGAACGTCCTTCCACAGAAAACGTACATTCTGGACCCGATTCGGTCTTAATCATCATCTCAGAAGCCGAGAGAGCCAAAGGACTACAGATCCCCAGTTCCTCCTCCTGGGCCTGCTGTCTCCTCAAAGCTACCTGAGAGGAAGGAGACAAGCCAGGACAAATTATTAAGTATGGGTTATCATTTACTAAAAAAACTGAAACCAAAATCCCTGAAAATGTCACTGTGTTGTTTTACTACACGACAACAGCGGGCGCATCACTTGGGAGCAGTCTGTCCAATCGCATCGTTGGTTACTATTTCCTGGATACGCACTTCCGCGATCAGAAAACATGGCGAGCAACACAGAGCGAATTTTGATCGAGGTGGAATGGTGTGATCTGCAAGAACAAATGCTTATCTTCAAAAATATCAGCGAGAGCATGAAAAGAGACAGCGGCGTGGGTGGAATGTCCGGCCACCCAACAGGACGAGGCAGACCTCAGGTGAATTTTCAGGGCCGGAGCGACTTCTGAGGGACATGGGCGAAGAAACGGATAGCGCCTGAATAAAACGTAGCGCTTTCTCTTGTCACCCAGAGACTGAACAGTAACGACACCCATCTTTCAGTTATTCCACAAAATAAAAACTACACTTGACGTCTGGTTAGCTGGACTCCAGGCGCAGTGGAGTGAATCTGCGTCTTGCTCCTGACTCAGGGTCACAGTCTGTCGGGGATACTCACATCTCACCTGTTGACGCAAACCTGACGAATGAAATATTAAAATCTAACTGGGTTCTGCAACCGTTTTTCCATTTCAGATTTTTTATCCGAGACTAACACAAAAAATACAAAAAATATGACTTTTTGTTATTTTTGAATCCATTTAAAACAAATAAAAAAGCTAATCCGTTTTTCCTGTTTTAATTTTTTTTGTTTTCAATCAAAAATAAAAAGAAACAAACGATACACGGATGACTCAGACACAGACCCTTTAAAATATCCGTTTTCTGCTGGATTTAGAGGGAAATCTGCATAAATAAAACAACGAAGCATAAAAATACTTTTAAAAAGGGATTTTTAAAAACATCTCTGGTGAAAGGATATTCCTGAATGCTGTCAGCTTGCAGTAAAAAGATGTTTATTGTGTCATATAATTTTACAGGTAAGTTTCATAACTTCTACTGCACGGTGACACAGTAAAAGAGAGAGTTGTTTTGTCTCTGTGGATCTGACCAGCTTCTCCCACGCAGCTGTTCTGAAAACATGTTTTTAAGATGTTGAAACAACTCTAGCATTAAAATATGTCCCGGCCCTTACTCGCACCATTAGTAGTAAACAATAATTAATTTATAGGTAAATAAATTACATAAATTTGTGTCACTGCGCTGTGGAATCCCCATGAACCTATGGCAAAGAATTGACAACAGAAACTGTTAAAATTCTGTTTTCCTACAGGAAGCCTAAGTCTCCTCCCTTTCTTGGGTCCCGGTGTCGATACACGACCGGCTCGGGGTCCTTCGACTGCCGATGACGTCAAAGTAGTTGATTGGCTGAACATGAAGCTTACGGAAGTGACGTCATCACGTTGTGATTTTGATTGGTCAGAACAAATTTGCGGTCGTAGTCTTAGCGGTTGTAGTCCTGTAGTCCAAAAATCAACACTTTTTGGAGAAAATGTGTTTGAATTTCTAAAGGAAATGTAAAATATAAGCAAATGATAAACGGTGACCCTCAAAAGCTCTTGATGTTGATGAAATGGGGCAAAATAAAATATAAGAACTTTATTGAAAGACACCAATCAATATTTTGAGTCAAAGAATGTATTTAGATAACAACTAAGGAAATATACAGACGAACTCCACATTAATACAAACAGATGTGGCTTCACATATGAGAACTGTTCTATTGTTTGTTAGTCCGATGTTGGTTTTATGCAGTTTCGCATTCTTTACAAAACAAAGATGATATGGTGTTTTACTAACAAATTACAATTATAAAGAAAATATTTAGGTGTTAACAAACAAGAATTTATTAACAAAACTGCTGATGTCTTTCCAAAACGTGTGTGTGTGAAAGCCGAGTAGATTTGCAGTACTGTGACGTCATCGGCAGTCGAAGGACACCGAGCCGATCCTGCAGACCTGCACCCGAGCAGATCCTGTACCGACACCGGAAGGACAAAAAAATGAATGCAAGTCAACGGGGCTAAAAGAGGAATTTTTTTAATCCGCTTTGCCTCACGACCTGGATCACATGTTGTACTTTAACTTAAATGAACGGTAATAACATGTGTTTCAACCACACCAGTCACGTACTTTGAGATTTATCAACTTGTAAAAGTTCGTAATTAGCATGACTACACGCCAGAAACTGGCATTTAACTTATTCACTGCCATCGATGACTAAAGTCGTCATTTTACATCCAAAAGGTCACTGCAAATGCATGTTTTTACTGTGTGGCTGTCGGACGAGCCCCCGCCCCGTGAGAACAAACATCTCAGCTCTAAAGCCGATCTTCATCCGCGTACGTCACACGTCACGTGATCAGGAAGCAGAACATCCATGTGTTAGGAGATCGTTTTGGGCCGCTGCTGTAAAAAAAAGTGAGGCGCGAACCGGAAAAGCTTCTGCCGATCACAATTCAACAACGGATTACAAAAGAACGGATAACGCTCGAAACGCGCGGATTCTTCCTGATGTACGAGGCGAGTCTCCGCTTTGTTTTGGTTGTTTTGGCGTCGACGTCATCCTAGCGCGCAACGTTCTGTCACTCTTAAAAAAAACAGTAAAAATGGTGAGAAACGCTGGCAGTGAATGAGTTAATTTGTTGTGGTGACAACTTGGAGGAGCTTCCGGATACATTTGGTAATGAACTTAATAAAGGTAAGGGTTGATTCAACTTTAATAAATTAACACAGAATTTAAATAAAACAAACTTTATATTTGGCAATAAGAAACTCATGATAAATGATACAGAAAATGAAAGCGTGACTAAAACTAAATTACTTGGTGTAAGGAAAACTGTGTTGGAAGAGACATTTCATTACTGTACAAAGTCAAATGTTTATTAAATCAGTCTTCATTATGTCTTGTACTGCTCCTTCGTTGTCCCACAGGACTTATTGTGCTGATGTCTGGGGGAACCCATTCAAGAAAACTATTAACTCTATATACCTTCTTCAATAAAAGGCTTTAAGAATAATCACCAGATAATCTTACACCGAACCAACACTCCTCATCAAATTGAAACTGTTGATGATTATGTGACGTCACCACATAATCTCCTCTCCCCTAGCGTAGCTGCTAATCACCAAATAGCCAGATTTATGGTGGTTCTTTCCTCCTGAGTGAAAGATCTGAAGTTTGATGATGTCAGTTTGGTGATGTGCATTTGTAGTCCTGAACGTATTTTCACACTAAACCGAAAATGACTTTTCCCCACGTTCAAAAATAAGCAGTTCTTGGCTTCAAAATGTGTCTAAAATTCACAGACATGATGTGTGAGATCCATGACACATATCTAACAGGATTAGAAAATAGCGTTTTTCAGCCAAATTGATTTGCATTTATTGTCTTGTTGTTCCGGGGACCCATGGTCCGGAAGTTGATGGGCGTCACTCTCACTTAGTCTTCCACTCAGATTCGTGTTACCTTTAGTTAAAGTCGCCAGAAGCCAATTTAGAGGCTCTGAACAGCACGTCGACCTTTTATTCAATAAAGCTGGAAGGTTCTGAGCCAAACGGAATTCACACATTTTTCCTGTATTTGGCTCAGTTACGTACAGCACTGGTTAGCTGCCGTGCTATTCTGAAATCGTGCTTCATAAATAAATTCATATGGCATAATATATGAGCGGCACATACTAAAAAAGTTCTTTAAAGGGCTAAATCCTTTGAACGAATGTTGTGACTTTTTCCAGGATGTTACGTGCACTTCTCTTTTTTGGCCACAGGATGGCCTCAGTGGCTTCTGCCTCGCCTGTCTCCCGGTTCCAGATGCCCAGCTGCATGTAATTGTAATCACCGGTCAGCTGTTATATGTTATATCGTGATATTTTCCCCAGCGATATTACGGTATATCGATATTCAAAAGCTGTGTATCGAAAATATCGATATCGCAATATATCGTGATATTTTTGTCTTGAAAAATGTATTCAAAAGTCGTGTATCTATTTTTTGGAAGAATTTACATGGAAACATTTGTGTATTTTCTTTTCTTGTGGTGCAATTCAAACGCTGACCACTAGTTGGCAGCAGTGTGCAATGGGTTTTGTTTCTACCATTGAAATGCAAATCCCTCTGTTACGGTTAAACATGTTAAGTATCAGTTTGAACTGTTTATTGAATTTTCCTATAATAAATTTAGTCAAAAAAATCGCCAAAATCATCTGACTGAATGTATCGCAATATATCGTGACATATTGTATCGTCTCCCCTGTATCGTAATACATATTGTATCACCAGAATTTCACCAGTACACATCCCTAGTACAGGGTATGGTGGGTGCAAAGGGGTTCAGTGTGCTCTCCTCTCCTCGTGTGTTCGGTGTTATTAGCTGTGTGTTTAATCTCTCGTCTTAGTAAACTTTAGTTTGGATTGACTCGTGGGTAAACTGACTTTGGTTTGGATTTGGACTTGGAATTTGTATGAGCGTCCCTGCTTAACAGGACTGCTCCCTTAGATTAGGACCTTTTCAGTTTGTATTCCCAGCCCCTTCTGGGCTGGCGCTTTTAGTTTTCCCTTTTGTGTATATTACCGTTGTAAATACCTTTTGGCGCTTCTTTCTGTAAATAAATCCTTGGTACAGCGACACTGCACTCTGTTATTATTCAACCCACACACTAACATTTTTGCTCCCTCAACAACATCACTCCTAGCGAGCTGAGGGACGTAAAACAGGACTTTATCTGTTTATTGAATTAGTTTACCTCCAAATTTTTCACCAAAGCTCCAAACTTTTAAAATGTAGGCTACATACTAGGGCTGGGCAATTAATCAAAAATTTATCGTTATCAAAATTTCTGAGTCTTATCAAGATAATTTTTCCTATGTCGACAAATCTGATGATTAAAAAATTAAAAGATGTGTGTAGATTGGCAACATTCATGTCCCTGTACCGCCTGAGTCACGTAAAAATGTGACTCAACGTAAAACATGTGACAGCCCCATCTAGTGGACAACTTTTGTTTCTGCGCATACCTGTAGTTATCCACTTTTCGTTATCGAGGTGAAATCCTCAATATATCGTGATATTGATTTTAGGCCATATTGCCCAGCCCTACTACATACAGCATTAAAAATTTTTAACCAACATAATACATATCAAATTAATTTTCACTTGAAATAGAATTAAAACATCAAAATAATTATAATAAAAAACAACAGTATATCAAAGCCTTCTATTAGAGGTGATAAATCTGTTATTACGTATAATTTAATTATGACTTACTGACTTTATTAAAGTTACTTCTGGAGGCAACTTTTGAGTTTTTGAACACACACACACACACACACCCACACACAGGCAGACATTTCACAAGGTTGAATGTTAACAGTTTTTAGAGTTACATTTAATTTAGAAACAACTTTAGGAGCCGAGGTTAGCATCACACTCAAAACCGTTAGCTGTGTAAAAAAAACGTAGCATACAACACGTTTTTGGATAAACTTTGCTAAATTTAAACATTTTTCGATGATAACCCATAAAAGAGAATAATGCTAGTTTAAAGTTAGTAAAAAAGTTGGTATTTAAACCCAAACTACTGGAGTTGGGTGCGGTTAGCAGGTATTAGCTTACCTGCGCAGCCATCACGCGTTGACGTTCCGCTATCAGCTTACATTTAGCACACACACACTCCCGCCAGTTGCAGAAACGCTTGTGTCCCTTCAGAGGAGACACGAAGCCATGGTTCCTGCAGCGGGAGCACTTGGGCATCCTGGGAGACTTGAGAGCTTGTGGCCTGGCCTCTGACACCTGTTTGCTCGGCTTGTCTTTTGTCATTCCGCCGCTGGGTCTGCAGGGGGAGTTCAGCTCCGGAGCCTGGAGGATTTAAGGTCACGTCCCGGCTCCTCCTGGAGTCAGCGAGAGGAGGCGTAGGATGCTCCTGCGAGGGGAGGAAACGCACCTTCTTTATCTCAGGAAAACCAGAAAAACCTCCAACATCTGGACGTTATTCAGTCGTTTCATTCATAAAAACGTCAAATATTTTATTAACTAGGTGGGAAACCAAACATTCAAAAAGAATTAAATCAGCACCTCTTCAGCTTGATTTACAGTATATTTATATTTTACAAGTTTGTAACTGATGTTTGCTGAAAATTACATTTTATTTGTTGTTACCTAAGACCGTGTTTCTTTCCAATTGGCAGCTGCCAAAGCTTCAGAATAGAATAGAATAGAATAGAATGATATGGAATCAATTAGAAAAGAACAGAATAGAATAGAATCAAATAGAATAGGATAGAATCAATTAGAATATAATAGAATCAAATAGAATAGGATAGAATCAATTAGAATATAATAGAATCAATTAGAATAGAATAGAATCACTTAGAAAAAAGCAGATTAGAATAGAATAGAATCAATTAGAAAAGAGCAGAATAGAATAGAATCAATTAGAATAGAATAGAATAGAATAGAATAGAATAGAATAGAATAGAATAGAATAGAATAGAATAGAATAGAATAGAATAGAATAGAATAGAATAGGAACAGCTGGAAAGCAGTGGCCTAGAATTCAGACCTTTACTTGCTGAAGTAAAATTGACAACAACAACAAAAGGGTGAAGAATAAAAGGTTGTGCAGGTAACAAAAACATTTTATACAAAAAAAATCTCAAAAGGCACGATTGAATTACCACAGGTTTTGGACTCATAATGCACCTTTAACTCTGTGCGTGTGTCCATGCATTTTGATCCTTCTGCTAAATGTTTTTGCATCTGTATTATGTGCACATCTATATGTTGTGGAGTTTGAGCGCCTATTTATTGGAGTGTGCATATAAATGAGCATGTGCTTTTGGGTCGGTATGCTCGTCAACAAGTGCAGTGATATTGAATTGCATTGAATATCCACGTATTTATGCATGTAGGTTTAAGCATATACTGATGCATATGTGTGTGTTTTCTTTTTTGCAGATTTGTTTTGCATGCATGTGCACACTTTATTATCACTTCTTTTTAAATCTTTGAGGTTTTTATTTTATATGCTGTGCAGCACACTGTGTTTTCATGCATGAAATGGGCTATATAAATAAAGTTGTATTTTATTTCATTGGGTGTTTTTAAAATATTTAAGTATTTTGTTGTTATTGTTGTTTCTTTTGACCATAAAACCCATTATGATAGAATAAATTGGAAAATATGGCAACAATAATGACTGAAGACATTGAGTGTCTCTCTCTCTCTCTCTCTCTCTCTCTCTCTCTCTCTCTCTCTCTCTCTCTCTCTCTCTCAATAAAGTTTATCTCTCACCATAGAATATTTATACTGAGAAATCACAATGTAACCATAGAAACACTTCTTGGTGTGTGTGTGTGTGTGTGTGTGTGTGTGTGTGTGTGTGTGTGTGTGTGTGTGTGTGTGTGTGTGTGTGTGTGTGTGTGTGTGTGTGTGTGTGTGGCCAATAAACACAATGAAACCTAGAGGTAGAACATTGTTTAACCTTGACTGAACAGTAACAGAATCGTCTGATTAAGTAGCACTCCTTTATCAGATTTTATTGAGCTGTAATAACTCAGCTTTGCTTTCACAGGGATATTTTTACAGTGTTCTCTGTTAAATTACGTTTACTGTGACATTAAGGCTTCGCCACATTAATGCATTTATTCTCTTATTAATTTCCTGAGCATGAATGACCTGAGACTGAATTAACCTCCTTACGCAGAGCCAGCCAGCCGAGCAGGTTTATAGACGGAGGGTTTCAGCTAACCCTGTGGAGGTAAGGATCCCAAAAACAATCAACCCTGGCTGTTACACCTCACGCTGGCTCAGATCCTGCTGCTGCAAAGACGCGCTTCATGACATAATAATGCATGATGATGATGTAATAAAGTGTTCAAGTTTAGAATTAAATATTTCTGAATCCTACTGAAAAAAGTAAGATAAACTCATACACATACGCACAGAGACCTCATTCATTTATATGTTTGAGTTAGTCTTTTATCTTGTCTTCCAGTATTTTGACATGTTCTCATCTTCACTTACTGCACAACCGGACTGCTCTTGTTGAAGTATGACGGGGTTAGATGGCTTCATGAACACGCTTGTTCCTCCCAAACTAAATTGGCTGTGCCTGAATTGGAAACTGTTCTTAATTTTTGATTTTGAACTTAAACTCAAGCATTTTGAATCCAACCAGGTATTCAAATTTCAACCGTTTCAATTTGATTAAAAGAGCGTTTGTTGGTTCAGTGTATTCCACTATCTCCGCTCCGCAGCACCACTGCTGCGGCCGAGCTGCGGCAGTGCGCCGCCCGCCGTTCCTTTGTCCGGCAAAAATAGAATCCAGATGCCGGAGCACCTCCGCAGTCAATGGACAGAAATCACAACCGCCCAACAGGAAAAGGAGCAAGCACAACTTCCGTTATTTCACAATAAATCGATAAACAAAAAGCGTTTTTTTTTTGTTTCATATGCACAGTTTTAACAACTTTTAACAAATATAAATGGCGGCTGAACTTTAAATGCACAAAAATAAGCCATAAATACAGTTTCCACTATCAAAGTAGTCACACTTTGTTGATCCAAACACTGCTGATCTCTAACACGAATGATGGGCAGATTAAACAGTTCATGTCGATGCTTCTCCCACACAACGGGTGTTTGGATCTAACTTCCGCGTTTATTGCTCGGACTGTATCGCAAGATCTCGAAAATCCCGCGCATGCTTGTTTGCGTCCCTGAGGTCTCCGCACCGGAGCGGAGCCGTTGTAGAGCGGGTACCAGTTGAGTTCGGAAGCGAGCGGCTGCGGAAGGCGGGGGCGGACCGGAGCGGAGATAGTGGAATTTGGGGGGATTATCCGGTGATTAGGCCTTTTAGTGAAGAAGATATATAGAGGTAATAGTTTTCTTGAATGGGTTCCCTCAGACGTCAGCACAAAGTCCTGTGGGAGAACGAAGGAGCAGTACGACGTAATGAAGAGTGATTTAATAAACATTTGACTAATGAAATGTCTCTTCCAACACAGTTTTCCTTACACCAAGTAATTTAGTTTTAGTCACTCTTTCAATTTCTATATCGTTTATCATGAGTTTCTCATTGGCAAATATTATGAACTTTGTTTTATTTAAATTCTGCGTTAATTTATTAATGTTGAACCAACCCTTTCATTTATTAAGTTCATTATACCAACTGTATCCAGAAGCTCCTCCAAGTTGTCACCACCACAAATTAAATTACTATCATCAGCAAACAGAACAGTAGACGCCTCATAAATAATGTCAATATACAAAATATATAATAACGTATCAAACTGAACCCTGAGGAACTCCAAACCTTGTTTTCATTGATTTAGGTTTTGCTTGATTTATTTCACCATATTGTTCTGTAGCTGATGGCCATTCTCTCACACCTTACGTATGAAGTTACTTATTAATAAGTCATGATCAACTTTGTCAAAATCTTTTTAGACATAGAAAAATTCCAGTAGCGTACTGTTTTTTTAATATACAGACAAATTCTATAGTGCAAATAAAGTGTTTTCATTCTTTCTAAATCCATGTTGTTGGCTACAGAATGTTGTGTTCTCATAAAATTGTTCAAACCTGACATTAAACACGTTTTCTAATATTTAAGACAGTCGATGAACTAAAGAGATTGACCTATAGTTAGAAAACAGCTAATCTCCAGCTTTAAATATTGGTATAAGCTACCTTTATCTATGGTATAAAAACATTTTTATCTATAATTTCTGTTAAAAATATCATCCCAATTTAGTAGTTTTTATATTGAAATCATTTTAGTGCAGGAATTGTTAAATTGTTGCAACAATACAAAAGCCCCGTCAGTATACCAATATGTCAATAATTTAATTATGGGTTTATTTTTGTCACACTGTCCGTTGTTTTCCGAATTTTTATTAACTGTTCTTTTCTGCTCATTTTATCATGTTAAATTATTTTATTATATTATAAATAATTAATAAAGATTTAAAAAATCCAAATGGTACAAAATTAAGTAAAATATAAATGTTTTTTTTTTTATTGTCCCGGTCCTCTTCTGGAAACAGAGTTCATGAAAATGATTATGCGTTCTTAAAATCAGACTTTGGAAATTTCAGTCCTAGAAAGGACAAAAACGACTAAATACACATTTCTTACATGTCACTGAGTAAATTTTGTTAGTTTGTTTAATGTTTGTAAAGACCATCTATCTTTGGCCCACGTTCAACAACTCAACACTTTCTGATTTCTTCCAAGTCTCTGTGGTAGAAACACAAAATTTCGAGTGTCCCTGAAGGCAGCGTTACCTAGCAACGGGACAGTTTCCGCCCGTAAACTTTCTGTGATTTTTCCAGAAACGATGCCCAAAAATACAGGCAAGAAAAGCGGTAAAAATGACAGTAAAGCCAAGAAGAAGTCGAGTTCTGTGACTCGGGAGGAAAAAAGCGTTTCGGACGAGACAGAAAAGGGTTTCTTTCTGGCTCAGATCGAATATTTGACCGTGGAGTCGGAAAAGTGAGGAAACTTTATGCTAGCATTAGCTACTGGTTTCTCTATGAAATTAGCTTTTATTATTATTTATTTAATTTTAGGTGTTTTCCTTTACAATGCAGAGATTATGTGTGTCTTTAGTTGTGGGTCAACACTAAAAGAACGGTAGTAAAATCACAAAAATACTTTTTTTTAATAATCTGGTAACACCACTGAATGGAAAGAAAGACGCTTAATTGACTCAAACGTGAATATTTTAAGCAGCTTTGGGATTCAGTCACATAATAAATATGAATCTTATTTTTTCAGTGCTCAACAGAATCTGGGCAGAAACAAATCAAATCAAACGTACTCAAATAACATGTTGCTTTTACTTTTTAGAGCTTCTGAGATGTTTTCATTTTTAAATGATAAAGAACTTTGCTCTTGTTATCTAAAGTTTAAAACTAACAGAAATTTTTAATTCTGCTATAGTTATTTTCCCAGGAATTATGCATTTATAAAAGCTAAAAACAAAATTAAAACGTTCAATATGTGAGGGAAAACTTACTTTACTGAACCGTTCAGTTTAAATCAAGCATATAAAGGCTGATTGTAGACATCACTGATTTTAGTCTTGAGGGCCGTCACCGATCTCCAGCTCAGACTTGCATAAAGAGTTATAATTGTTAGAAAACCTTTATTAACGTAATTGTTTTGGAATTAAACTCGTTCAGGTGGAAGATCTGTTTTTGTTAACATTAATTACAGCCTAAATTGTCAGGGAAAAATCCCAATTTATTTGTTTATTCTGCTGAGTGGCAGTGGTGCATTCACAGACCCAAATCAGAGCAAATTCTGTTTAAGACTCGTGTTTAATGTTAACGCGTAAGAGGAAATCAGCTGATGAGCACAATAAAGTTAAAAAACACTAAATAATACATCAAGCTGCAAGTTTCACCCTCAGAAGCTGAGACTAACTCTAGAACCAAAGAATGGAGTTGTGCATCTTTGTACTCACCTCAGGTTTCAGAAGAAATGCGAGGAGCTCGAGAAGCAGAACCAACTTTTAATCTCTCAGTTTAGCTCACTGAGAAACGAGAAGAAGGACATCACAGATTATCTGAAACACTCCCTTCTGGAGAAGGAGGAGGAGCTGGATCGGCTGTCCGAGCGGCTGCAGAATCAGCGGGAAGCTGCGGATCAGAACCGGAGCGCTCAGCAGCTAAAACACGATCAGCTGATGGCGGCGCTCCAAGAACAAATTCGGGAACTCCAGGAACAGAACAGGAAGCTTGGTGATAATCTAGTCTGTATAATATAGTCTGTGAGCCTGAACGGTGTGTGTGTGTGTGTGTGTGTGTGTGTGTGTGTGTGTGTGTGTGTGTGTGTGTGTGTGTGTGTGTGTGTGTTCTCAGCTAAACGTCAAATTTCAACTAAATTAGCTGTTGTGGCAATAGATGAAGATGACCACTCAGTCAGTACTTTCTGATCATTTAACACACACACACACACACACACACACACTAAATGAAAAATATTCCCATCATCTGCTCATTTCTCCTCTTCCTGACAGTCGGAAATCTAACAGATCTGGACGAGTTTGAGAGGCAGAAAGAGGATCTGATGACCAACTTGGATCATCTGGAGAAGAAGCTGGAGCATCAGGAGGAGGAGCATAGAAACCAGATCCATGACCTGGAGATGAAACTTCTGCTGGAGAAGAAAAGGTTAAATGGTGTTAAAATGACAAAAATCTAAATCTGGACGTAGTTCCTCAGAAATATTTGCTCTGTGGTCAAAGACTCGGGGAGGAAATGGAGACTTGCACCTTGGCCATGGAAGCAAAGGTTCAGCACCTGGTGGACCAGAACCTCCCTGAGAGGGCCCGGTCGGTGCTGCAGGAGAACGCAGAGATGAAAGCCTGCTTCAGCAAGCTGTCTGAGCAGTTCAAGGTTCTGATGGAGGAGAACTCCGCCCTGCGGGAGCGGAAGCATCAGCTGAGCATTGATGTGGAAATCCAGGAGGAAATGATCCGTGAGATGTCCAGGATGAGCTGCCTCCAGAGGAAGGTGGGAGAGAAAACCTCCAAGTTCTGATCTCATCCATAAATGAGATCATTGCTTTGGATCTTCATTGGGTTTGTCTCCTCTCCATCAGCAGGTGCAGCAGCTTCAGGAGGAGCTGAAGAACAAACACCAGAACCTGGAGCAGCTGCAGAAGGAACACTCCCAGGTTCTGGCTGAGATGGAGGCTCTCAGGTCAAAGTTCCCTCCTGCTGATGCTTCCACAGAACTTCATCAGAGCCGAGCAACACCTTCATCAACACCTTTGTCCCCACAGAGCGGAAAACCCAGATCCAGGATCCACTTCCAAGATTCAGCAGGAATACCACAGAGCAGGTGGCACCAGCTCCGTGTCCCGCCCAACACCTAAACCCAAAAGCACGTCCTGCAGGACCAGAGCAGGATCCAGCCACACCTCTGTTCCTCATTACAGGTCAGTCAGAGACAATAGGTCATAAATATATTAAATATTTATATTTTTATCTGTTTTAGGGGAAATATTTAGTCAGTTCTGGGAATATTCCACCAGAGTGTGGAGATTTAGATGAACCCTCCCGCTGTCTTAATGGGTGACCCCGCCAGGAAAGTAGACCACTGAGCAGGATTGATGGTTTATGTGAAAATGGTGAGCACCACCTCACCCCTGCCACGTGGACCCAAGGGCTAAACCATCAACCCTGCTCACTGGTCAACGTTCCTGGTGGGGTCACCCATAAAGACAGCGGGAGGGTTAAATCCCTGATTCAGACACAAACTAGAATGGAAGAGAATTATTGTTTGTTTTAAACTTTAATATTTTTCCTCTCAGGAAACCCGTCAGCCAGGAATCATCCATGAAGCAAAGCCGCTCCGCCACGGGATTTCTGACATCCCAACAGTTATTCAACAAACTCAGCTGGTCCTGATGCGATCGTTCATTCCCATCCATCCATCCATCCCTCCCTCCCTCCCTCCCTTCCTGCTTGTCCATGTAGGGTCGCAGGGGGACTGGTGCCTATCTCCAGTGGTCAATGGGCAATCAGGCGGGGTACACCCTGGACAGAGAGCCAGATCATTCATTCCCTTTAAAGGATTTTCTTCCAGCAGAATTTTCCAAAGGAAAATTTTTCATCCAGTTTATAGCAACCCCAGTGCCTTCTCCTGTCGCTCCCTTTAGTCTAGGACAGGGGTGGCCAATCCTGGTCCTGGAGGGCCGGTAACCAGCAGGTTTTGTCGTTTTTCTGCTTCGTCACGCTTGATTAGCTGGTTGAGTCACCTGTGCAGCAGCTCATCAGGCTCTGCAGAAGCCTGTTAATCACCTGCTGATTGAAATCAGGTGTGTTGAAGCAGGTTAAAACGAAAACGCGCTGGATATCGGCCCTCGAGGACCAGGATTGGACACCCCTGGTCTAGTTTACCTGTTTGTAGCTACAGTTTCGCCGACAGCTGCCGGCTTCTTCAGGCTGACGCTGATGGTGGCGCGTCACTTCCTTCTCCGTTTATCTGCGGGCAGCAGAGGACGTTGTCGCCCTCTACTGCCCGCTCTCCCCTCTCCGACGATGCAGTCCTATGCGTGGTCCAGCGTGTAAACTCCGTCGTCCCTGTTCATGGTCCCACATCCACGTCTCCTTATCTCGATTGCTTCCTTGATCCATCTTTTGTATTTTTGCCATCAGCGTCAGCCTGAAGAAGCCGGCAGCTGTCGGCGAAACTGTAGCTACAAACAGGTAAACAAAACTGTTTCTGTGTTTAAAAAAGAACGAAAGCATGGATTTACAAAGACACAGCAAGAACACACCTAAGAAACCCCTGGTATAGGATGATGCTCATGTGTGTGTGTGTGTGTGTGTGTGTGAAACTGAACAAACCAGGTCTATGTACCAAATGTGGCTTAAATGAAGGCTGATATCTACTGTATGTGGGACGTTGTCCATTACAAGTTCATTTATAAACTATAATCACGTTGCATCCCAAATTATTCCTGATGGCTTTTTATCCTGAGAAACTTAAAATCCAACAAAACAGGAAGTAACTCGCTGACTTTAGTTTGCTGAAAACAAAGAGGAGTAAAGCTTTAAAGAAAGAAAGAAAAAACAATCTTTTATAAAATCGCCTCACAGTAAAAATCACGAGGCGCTCCACAGAAATTTGACAGGTGAAACTGGGAAAGTGAGAATCTGGTAAAAAAAAATTCATCTGTCACTAATCCAGCCTAAAATGTGAAACTGATGTGTGAGACACTCATTCCAAGCACATCCAGATGTTTCAGCCTTTATCTGTTAGAGTAGTGATGATTAAGGCTTACAGCTGATGGAAACCCCACATTCAACATCTCAGTCAGAATATTGTATTCTAGACTCCGTGTCACGCTCTGATCAGCTGGTGAATCCAGAACAGCTGCAGAGGGTTCCTGAGCCTTTAGATGGTCTCTCAGTCTGAGCTGGATTACTGACACGAATGGATTTTTGCTCCAGATTAAAGTTTTTCCAGTTTCACCTGTAAACTGTAAAAGTATCTGGCTCTAGCGCCTCCTGGTGGATAAAACGAACGTCACCCTACCACTGTCTTCATGGGTGACCCCGCCAGGAAAGGTGACCTTTGAGCAGGGTTGATGGTTTATCCCTTGAGATCCACGTGGCAGGGGTGTGGAGTGAGCACCATATATTATATTTGGTTTTTCCTGTTAGTTTAAAAGTACTAAACTATGGTTTTCATCAGTGGTTCTGACTATATATGGCAACGCCCACTTAAGCCACCACACCTTAGTTTTCATCTCTGAATGGGTTCTTGGGTGTTTTATCAGGCCCTTTTAAATAAGAGCCATCATTAAAAACATGTTTTCGTTTTATTTTAGAACTAAATGTCTAAAATGTCATAAATGAAGCTCGTTTGAATAAAGTAAATCATTTTCATGATTTAATTTTTAACCCTGACAGCGACGAGGTGGGAGGTTTATCAACCACTAAAACTAAAATCTTACGGGATAGTTCAGCTTCTTTCAAGCGTGTTTGTAAAGTTTTTTTTAATATATATTTATAAAGCGCCAAATCACGACAAGCGTCGTCTCAAGAACCTTCACATAATAAACATTCCAACACAGGTCAGGTCATTAAGTCACTCAGAAAAAGTTTCCTATATAAGGAACCCGGCAGGTTGCATCGAGTCACTGACTAGTGTCAGAGTCTTAACAGCAATCCTCATACTAAGCAAGCATGCAGCGACAGTGGAGAGGAAAACTCCCTTTTAACAGGAAGAAACCTCCAGAGGAGGGTTAGGGTTAGACTCACTGGGGATGGAGAAGACAGAGCAGACACACACACACACACAGGTTACATTGTGATTTCTTAGTAAATATTCTATTTGGCGAGAGATAAACTTTATTGTATTTATCCTAGTGAATCTATAATTAAACGGGTAAACTAGTAGTAGCACATTAAACGTCAAGGAAAGCAAAAAGTTATCAGGAGAGGGAGAATGTTTAAGTGGTTAGCAGCAGTGTGCTAGCTGATGGCCCCCTCCATGAGGCCACCACAGCTCAGCAGAACAAGTCCTGTCACACTGGAAGGTAGCTTCCCAGTAACAAACTCCTCTGAATCGAAGCCATTCAGGAAGCATCTAGGATGGGAATTATTCACCAAGTCAGACTTAAACATTTGCTTTCTGTAATGCAACTTTCACGGAAAAAAAAGGAAAGCAACTTGGACTTGGGGCAGCTATAAACCTACATATGGGATCTTTGTTTTCCTAATCTTTCCAGCAGAACAGAAAGTTGGAATAGTTTCAGAAAGTAAAACATTTCTAAGAATACATTTGTGTTTTCCAAAAACTTATTTATTAATCTAATAATTTCATGCTGTATAAAAACCAACCCAGCAGAGGTTGCTTCGGTTTCAACATCAGACCAAAGCTGCAGTTTAAACTTTTATTGAAAGGTTTTTGTTACAAGTTTCAGGCACTCGAGTCCCCGTCAGGATGACGTCAGCACCTGGACGAACACTAAAGACAGGATTATCTTACACAAAACGCCGAACAACTCCGCCGTATGTACACTCAAATACACTTCTGCAATAAAACTATACTCTGATAAATACATAACTTCATGGGTTGTTGAGGATTATTTAGGAATTATTCAAAATACTGTTAATCATTTTAAATACAAAGAAGGAAAGTCCATCAGGTCACATCGAATTCACCAGGAGGCAGCAAGGAGACGTTACTCTAGTGTGTGTGTGTGTGTGTGTGTGTGTGTGTGTGTGTGTGTGTGTGTGTGTGTGTGTGTGTGTGTGTGTGTGTGTGTGTGTGTGTGTGTGTGTGTGTGTGTTTTGAAAGGACATCTGTAGAGTTTTGCTGGTCTGAGTGGAGTCGGCTGCTGATGGCGAGCGTTTCAGGCACCTCGTGGCTACATTCATGTTCAAAGGACACTTTGGGCTCAATGAGAGGGAAGTGGAACAAATAATCCCAGAAATCAGACTGGTTGGTTGTTGGGATCAAGTCCCTCTTCCATCGTTCAGCGAGAACCAATAGCAGCGCAGAGTTTATCCACCGAGGAGGGACGGGGCGGGGTCTAGTCAAATACACCCTTCCGAGTGGGACTTGGTGATGTCTTCCTGCTGAGTCGAGGCGTTCCCTGGAAAACAAACACGTGAGGACAGGAGAGCTTCAAGGTCCCAAACCGAGAGTCTGAGGACAGAAGAAGACAAACATACCGAAGCCTGAGCTTTGGAGAAGTTAACGTGCGCATAAAGCAGCACCGCGATGTCCTTGTGTCCAGCCTCCAGAGCGATGGACAGAGCATTACTCCCATCCTGAAGGGGGCGGAGAAGATGTCAAATCTAACTACAGCTCATTTATTTCAGTAAAGACACCCAAACACGTGAAAACACGAGGCTTTCGTTGTGAATAAAAGGTGAGTTCTGATGAAAAGAATCAGAACAAACATTAATCTGATACGGTTTCCCTTCCCGAGTCGACTCACGCTGTCACTGAGCGTGGCGTCGCAGCCCGGCTGGGCCAGCAGCAGCTTGACGATCTCCACGTGGCCGTGCTCGCTAGCACACATCAGCGCCGTGGAGCCCTCGTCGTCCTGGACATTGACGTTGGCGCCGTGAGCCAGCAGGGCTCGAACCATGTCCATCCTGCCGTGGCTGACAGCCAGCATCAGACCCGTCTGACCGGCCTGGAGCACACGGATCACATTTACAGGAACAATCAAAACGAGGGATGAACGATATCGGCTTTTTTTACCGATATCCGATATGTCGATATCGTCTGACTCTTAATTTCTGATACTGATATAAACCAATACCAATTTGCTCATAAAAAACTAACACATTTAGCTTACAAACACCACAAATCTCCTGTCATGCTTAAATTTTAAGTATTTTATGTGCAAAATAACTATAATTAAAGTCAGTAACGGGAAAATTTTATGTGCGGGCAGCAGAGGACGATGTCGCCCTCTGCTGCCCGCACATAAACGGAAGTGACGCCACAAACAGCTGGCCGTTCCGGCTGAAACGTGTAAAAGTTAAAAAAAAATTTAATTACTGCACTGTGGTAAATAAGAAAAATGATGATTATGAATCAGTACACAGAACGAACATTCAGAAGAGTATTAAAAACAAGCCTCGAGTGGATTCTTGTTTTAGTCATTTGTTAGCAGCTACACGTAGCTGCGTGCCGTTAGCTGCTAGCTACACGTAGCTGCGTGCCATTAGCAGCTAGTTACACGTAGCTGCTGCGTGCCGTTAGCTGCTAGTTACACGTAGCTGCTGCGTGCCGTTAGCTGCTAGTTACACGTAGCTGCTTGCCGTTAGCTGCTAGTTACACGTAGCTGCTGCGTGCCGTTAGCTGCTAGCTACACATAGCTGCTGCGTGCCGTTAGCTGCTAGCTACACGTAGCTGCTGCGTGCCGTTAGCTGCTAGCTACAAGTAGCTGCTGCGTGCCGTTAGCTGCTAGCTACACGTAGCTGCGCTCCGTTAGCTGCTAGCTACACGTAGCTGCGTGCCATTGGGACAGCTTATGTTCACTACAACGGGGAAAATTTGGAGCTAACTTCTACTTTACAAGTTGTGCCAATTTGAGTAAAATGTCTCAGATCTGTTATATTTTTATGTTATAATATTTTTAGAGAGGAGAAGTAGCCGAAGAGTTTTATGTATAATAAGTGTGTGGCAGGTAAACGCTGGTTCATTAAAATACTGAAAACCAATACAGACATTTTCTAATTATAAATTTAATCGCTGATGTCAGCAGGTATTAATGGTAGACTGATAATATTAATAGTAGACTGATAATATCAATGGTAGACTGATAGTATTAATTGTAGACTAATAATATTAATGGTGGACTAATAATATTAATGGTAGACTGATATTAATGGTAGACTGATATTAATGGTAGACTGATAATATTAATGGTAGACTGATAATATTGAACTCTCCTAAGCAAAACCCAGATGAATGGTTTTATTTCTAAAATGATAGTAAGACACACTCAGCTCCAACTGAGCTACACGCAGCTGACCTCTGACCTCTGAGACCCACCTGACTGGCTCGAGCATTCACATCGCCCTTACTGAACAGCTCCTCTACGATGCTCATGTCCTTCGGTGTCTCCACGGCTGCCAGTGCTGCCAGCATGATGGGCGTGTAGCCAGCTTTGTTCTGCTGGTTCACGTTACAAACGTCTGGAACACACACACACACACACACACACACACACACACACACACACACACACACACATTACTATTCACCCTTCCTCCTTCAGGCAGAAGCCCGAGTCTGCAGCTCACCTGCATCCAGCAGCTTTTTCACCACCTGGAAGTTGGAGTGTGACACGCTGTAGTGCAGCGCTGTGTTCCCGTTCCCATCGGCCATGTTGACAATGTGGCGCAGCACGGCCGGCGAGATTCCCTCAAACGCCATCAGGTAGTCTTCCACCATTGGCGCCATCGCCGCCTTCTGACTGGACACCCGGAACCACTCGTGCTGCAGCGTATTGAGACCGGCTCTCTGAGGGGGCGGGGTTAGAAACACCTGTTAGAGCTCCAGTGTTTCAGGATAATCGAACATGGTGCAGAAAACAAGTCAAATCTTTTACTTGGTGGCAAAAATACAAGAAATCTGGTGAGTTGTTCGTCTCTTTCAAGAATCTTAAGAGTTGGAAAATAAAAGGATTCACACAAGAATCTCCCTTACATTCATTTTTTGATCTATAATGTTTAACATTTAAACTACATGTAGTTTAAGTTAGTTATAATTACCAAGGACAACAACAATAACTCAGCTGCCTTGGGAGGAGCCAGACTCACCAGGTCTTTGCTGCTCACACCCTTCGAGTCGCTGAGGGACGTTTGGAGAACGCTGCAGGCAGACGACATCTTCTCACTCAGCTCAAACCTTCCCGTAAATAAAACACCAATAAGTGTCACAAACACATTAAAACAGCTCCACACAGCAGATTTCTGACTAAACGAACCCTGATTTTAGTTAAACAGGTGTCCATCCTGCCTCTCCATGTTTAAACAGCCTGACTGATTTGGAAGCAGAAGTCCTTTGTTTACGCTGGGAGGCAATTTTCTCTCAGATTCGGTGCCGATTCACATCTTTCTGTTTAACCTTCTTTTCCTCATGATTACAGCAAATCCAGTCTGAAACCACTGGAGTTGAATCGATGATGCTCCTTACCAGGGCTTCATTTGAGCCGGATCTTGCCGGAACAAGATCCGGGAACCGTCTTATTTTGAAAGGACCGTTCCGGCAACTCACGCGACCAACTTGTGCTTATACGCCGGATTCGAATTACAGGCAAGGCCGTGGGAAGTAGAGGGTGCTGAGCGTGTTTCAGCACCCCCTTGCTCCGGCATCTGCTCTGCCTTTACTGAACTTCGGTTTGACGTCAGTATTTACGTTCCGGGAATGTTTGATTTGCTCCCGACTTTATTGAGCAGGTTTTTAGACTTCAGGTTGGATCTGAGCCCGTTTTTCTTCAGAGGATCGAGTTTAAAGCTCGGCCAGGAGCCACGGCTGCTGCTGTTATTTTAACACACGTGTTCTGATTAGAAGTCGTAAATGGAGCCGATAGAACTTGGAAAATCTGGGCTCCATTGGTAATGCCTGTTCAGTTACAGAAGTCTGATGTTCTGGAACCAAACAGTCAGTTAACCCAGTTTTATAAACAAACGCAGACATCTGATCACTCACCTCTCTCTCTTCTCCTTCCTCACACTCTCCTCTTCATCCTTCGTGTCCACGTCCTCTGCTCCTTCGTTTTGGAACTCGTCCCTGATGCTCCTTCCTCCCACATCCCCGTCCTCCTCCTCCTCCTTCTCCTCATCTTCCTCCGACCCAGAGGAGCTGCTCTCCTCTGAACTCGAGTCGTCGCTGGACGTAGTTTCGGATCTGCACCAGAAGGGGGCAGTAGAGACTCAGAAACCTGCAGACCCAGGTGTTCCGCACCAACAGGCTGCAGCAGCTCAGATTTCATGTTTGCATGCAGAAGACCGTGTGGGAGTACTGGGGAAGAACTTCACCCACAAACAAACAAACATTCGATTGTTTTCTCACCCTCCGTTTACGCCGACAAACTGAAGGTTCTTCTTGGTGCCGTTGGAGTCCCCTCGTCCATCTTTCTTCTTCATGATCGACTTGAGGGTGTTCTGACTGCACGGCTCTCCTTTAGGAAACACAAACATCAAAATTAAACCCAGAAACAGCAGATGTAGTCCTAAAAGAAGATCTACAGATCCAGATTCATAAAGTTTCTGTCAAGTCTGCATCGGGGACGTTGTTCTGATGTTTGTGTATTTAAATACATGTTTTCTTTATGCTCCTGTAAACAAGAGCAGATCAGGTCAGATGTTTTCACAGAGCTGTGCGAGAGGCTCTTGGAGGCGCCTCAAAGCCAGAAGCATCTCAGTCATTTTAAGTGCTGGTCTAAAAAAACCCAGAAATGCCAGCAGAGCGGGTCAGAACCCTCACATCTGCCTGGACTTGTACTGATGGAGGGGCCTCTCTGGTGCAGCGAGGTGTGTGTGTGCGTGTGTGTGACGTTTAGTAGCAACAGTCTCTACATGTTTCCAATGTTTTGACAAGTGGAGGCAAAGAAAGCAGCTAATGAGGACAAACAGGCTGTTGGTCGGGTTCTGGTCGGGTTCTGGCAGCAGGTCTAGAATCTGCAGGTGAGACCGTGGAAGACGACGACTCTGCCCTCGTCTGCTGCTGACAACAGAAGCCAAACATTTGTACGGGAGGCAGCGTGCTGTCTGAGGGGTTACAGGCTCCGCCCACATATCTGCACACATTCAAGGTGTTTAAAAGTCTCAAATACCCAGTTCCTGCTAAACATATTCCAGCAACCACTGAACAAGTCAGAAGGGGCGGGGCTTAGGATTTAAACCGCAGCCAGCCAGCAGGGGCGCTTTAGTTTCCTTCTACTCCAATGATCAGGTTGGTTTGAGACTTCTACCAAGAATACTCCCGATTCGTGTCCTCGAGTCCTTTTTGATCCCTTTAAACTCGACTGTATGACATCACAGGACACCGAGCGACTCGGACCTTGCTCAGACCAGATGAACCTGAAAGCTTTTCACTAATAAATGCAACATCAGCACTTTTGTTCTGATCCGTCTGATAAAAAATGACTTTTAAAAGATTTCTGGAAATACTTTTTCTAATTGATCAAATGACTTGTTTAAACTGTAAGCATCAGACTTGGATTAGGACCGAGACTTGTATGTCTAGTGACTTGTCTAAGCCAGACCCGCCCCACCACTGTTGAACCCGTTTCCCGGTGGTTTTCTCATGAAGGTTTGTTCTGGTCCAGTAAATCTGTCTGGAGGACCACTCGGGTTCCTGGACTTTTACCGTGCAGCGCCATAGACATCTGCAGGTCCATGCGGCTCTTCTGCTCGGCTGCACTGATCTGCGGCTGCAGCACTGGGAGCTCAGGATGGTCAGTAGGATCCAGACCCGATGGGGTCCGCTCAGGCTGCGAGGGGTCCACCTGCAGAGTCGGTACCTGGAGCTGCAGAACGTTCTCTAAAAAAATAAATTAATTAAAAAAAAGGCCGAAAATGTTCAAAACCTCATAAAACAACATTTAAATTAATTATTTGACTAACACCTCATATTTCTCTTCAGCCCTGACACTAATGTCCCAAAACAGCCCACTAAAGGTCAGAACGTGATCAGAACCGAGCCTGGCTCGCAGACCTGAACCCGGTTATGTAACGGCTCCAGAGCCGTGACTCGGCACCAACAGGAGGCGTTGGCCGAGGCAGGACAGCCCACTAAAACAACAAGACGCCGCCGGCGGCTCCCAACAAACATGAGCTCATGGTTGGTTCCTGTCCAAAGCCCCCCCCCCCCCCCCCACACACACACACATTTTTTCAGGGTCAGAGAAAACTCCAGCCTGTCCGATCGGATCTGGATTCTCTTTAAACCACATCTGAACCAGGAATCCAGAATCGGACTCCGGACCGCCGGGAACAAACGAAGGACGGCTGTCGGGATTCAAATGCTGAGAAAAGTCTTAAAAGTTCTGAATAAATATATAATAAATAATTCTGATTAAAAAAACGGTAAAAAACTAAACCAGAAAGACCCACGATAGTCATAAAGCTGTGGGTGTGTGTGTGTGCGTGTGTATGTGTGTGTGTGTGTGCGCGTGTGTGTGTGTGTCCTAATTGCTCAACCCGACTCGGAGCCATTCCTCACAGGGACCTAATGTCACAAGACGCCTCTGTTCTAGTTTCGGGTGTTCGGAATGCCCGGAGCATGCTCACCTTTGCTGGAGTCTGAGTTCAGATTCAGGATGTCCTCCGAGCTCCCGTACCTCATCACCGTGTTGATGGAGGACAGCGTGCTGACCAGCTGACTGTTGATGGACCCGAACTGGGTCTGAGGCTGGCCGAACGCCTCGGCCAGCTCGCTGTAGTTCTCCGCCAGCAGCATCTGCTGCTCCTGCAGGAGCTTCTGGACTCTCTCGATGTAGTGGTCCAGCCCGGCGCCCCCTTGTGGCTGCAGCGAAGCGGCGTCGGTCTCGTTAGTGACGGGCCCGGCTGGCTGGGAAGGACCACATGCGATGTTCCTGGTTTTTAAGCCGATCAGGAAGTTGTCGTGGATGCTGACTGGACCCACCCCACACTCTCTGGTTCTGGCAGAGTTTGACTGGCTGAGAGCAGATTCCAGATCCGTGGCGGTCCCGACAGCAACCGAGCGGGTTTTTGCAGCTGTGGGAAGGTCTTTGACAAGTCCCTCTCCAGCACCTACTGTTCTGGTTTCGGTTGCTGCCGTGTTGGTGTGTTTATCGCAAGTCACCAGGTTCGTGTCGGTGAACGAGTCCGTCATGTCGGCCGTCTGGGTGTTGGTGGACTGGTTTGTGAACTCCGCTTCGGTACCGGTCTGCTGCGATGCGGATTCTGGAACAGCCATGATGCCAGAGTCCTCCCTAGCGACAGCCTCCGGGTCAGTTCCCTGCGACTTAAACGTCTTGACCGGATTAACGGAACCATCTCCACAGCCGACGGACTGGGACTCCGTGTTCGGCCATGCTGTGGTTCTACAGAGAAACGATTGGTCCAGAGTCTCCTCAGCGTCGACTCCCGTCTCGAACACACTCCTCTCCGCTCCAACCTGCTTGTGGCAGGTCTCCACCCGGACCTCCACACACTGGTCCTCCACCTCCACACGCTCCCGAACCACCTGGCGGTCCATGGGAAGCTCTGGTCCTGCGGCGACGCTCCGCAGGCTGGGCTGACAGGAGACTCCGACGCTGTGGGTCTGGGGGGTTCCATCTGTGCTGAGGTGGCCCCCCACTCCCTGGTGCCGGGTCTGGACTTTGGCCTCCACGCAGGCGTTGTACATCTCCGGCCGGACCATCAGACCTTTGTCCGATCTCTTCCTATTGGACCCACCGGCTGCTTGGAGCTCCAGCTTCAGCTTTCCCATTTCCATCTGGTGTGTGGTTTCTTTAAGCTGGACCTCCAAGCGGTAGATCTTCTCCTTCAGGGCTTCAATGGCCTGCTGCTGGAGCTCGATCTCCTTCTCAGCCTCACTGGTCACTCCCAGCATGTTCTCAGTCACTACTACTGCAGCGTTCCGTGTTTCCAGCCCCTCCGTCATCACTCCAATGTCCTTTATATGACGGGCGACAGAAATGTTCACGTTCTCATCGGTTCCTACGCCAACGGACTTAAGGTGGGACTGGTTCAGTAGGACGTTTTCACACTGAACTTCAGAGACCTTGTTCTCCTTGGTGGTCTTCTCCAAAGCTTGAACCTCTGCAGCCAGACGTCTGAACTCCTCCACCCGCTGCGAACTCTGCTCCTGGACTTCCGGTTCAATGATCTTCAGCTCGGGTTCCTTTTGGATGGAGCTGGAGTTCTCCATCTGGTCGGCGCTGCCCACACTGTAGGAACGCTTACGGAAACCCCCGAGCCCTTGACTTTTCGACTGAGCAGCCAGCTGTCGTTTCTCCTCCTGCAGAACAGAAATCTTCACCTGCAGGATGGGGATGGTTTTCACCTGCTCCTCCAGCTCCTTTAGCCTCCTCAGAGCAACAACCATCTGCTCTCTGATCTGCTGCAGGTGCATCGGGCTGACGTTGGTCACCGGGGTGGCCATGCCGGAGCTCAGGGGGCTGTGGCGAATAGAGCTGCCCATGGATGCAGGGTAGTAATGGTTGTAGTCCCCATTGGACAGGCCATTGAGGGACAGAGGCTGGTGGGTGCTGGGGGAGATCTGGCTCGCGGCAACAGAACCGGAGTAGGAGGACAGGGAGCTGCTGGAGCCCATGCCACTGAAGCTGGCGAGGCGGCGGCGCGGCATCAGAGGCTCGCCGTGTGGCTGCATGAGCTGACGCTCCTGCTCCAGGCGACGGCGGGTCTCCATCAGGGTCTTTTCCACCTGGGAGTTGTGACGAAGGACACACCTGGGAGAAGGAGGCGGGAGCTGCTGCTTCTGCTCGGAGATGCCGGAGTAGGACTGATGCGTCGGCGCTTCACAGGCCGCCTTGGAGATGGTCAGCGGAGCAGCGTCCTGGGGCCTGGGTGCAAAAAACACCGGGGACTGTTTGCCGTCGCTGTTGGAGGAGGACAGGGAGTCCGTGGAGGTCCATTCAGGCCGAGCGCCTGTGCTGCTGCTCCGAGGTGCCGCCAAAGGTTTGGGCACTTTGGGTTTCCTCTGGATGCTCAGCTTCCTGATGGTGTTGCCCCGCTCGATGTCGTCGACATATTTGAGGAAGTCCAGGTCCAGCTGGTATCCGTAAGGAGTTTCTACGTAGTAGGGGGCCTCGGAGTCCTTCTCATCCCCGGTGGTGAGGCATGTCTGGTCTCGTTCTGAAAGAGAAGACGCAGGAAATGACATCGTTACGGAGCATTGCTAGTCGTTCCTGGTCCTCAAAGGCCACTTCCTGCTTCCACACACCTGGTTTGGGTTAGTGGCTGATCTGCACCAAAGGGAAGGCGAGTCAGAAGAAGAAGAAATTATCATTTCTATAGCGCCTCTCAAGATAAAAATCACGAGGCGCTTCACAAAAACAAAAAATGTAAAAATATAAAAAGAATTTAGAAAATGGTTAAAAATATATTTAAAATGAGCAAAAATAGACAATTATGATTTAAAAAAATGTTAAGAAAGAGAGAAAAGGAAAGAGGGAAATCAGTGGATCCTGAGGAAGGTGGAATAGGTGGGGAGAGCAGAATAAAGAGAGAGAGGTGAAGAAGGTCATCCAAAAGCCTGAACAGGTGAGTTTAAAGGAGACCACTGAGTCCACTGATCTCAGGCTCAGGGGGAGAGAGCTCCAGAGTCTGGGGGCCACAGCAGCAGATGATCTGTCACCTTTGACCTTTAGCCTGGTGCTGCACAACCAGTAGGCTTTGATCACTGGACCTCAGGGACCTGCTGGGGGTGTAGGGACTAAGAAGATCACCAATGTAAGATGGTGCTTGTCCATGTAAGGCCCTATAGACTAGAACCAGGATCTTGAAATGAACCCTGAAGTTGACTGGCAGCCAGTGAAGCTGGAGGAGAAGCGGGGTGATGTGGGTGTGTTTGGAGGACTTGGTCAGAAGCCGAGCACAGGCGTTCTGAACCACCTGTAGACGGTTCAGGGAGGTTCTGCTCAGACACGTGAAAAGAGAGTTACAGTAGTCTAAGCGTGAGGAGATGAAGGTGTGGAGAACTGTCTCAAGTTCAGAGCGGGACAGAATGGGACTCAGCTTAGCAACGTTCCTGAGATGGAAGAAGGAAGAGCGAACAAGAGAACTGACATGAGAATCCAGGGTGAGAGCTGGGTCAAAGGTCACGCCAAGATTCCTGACAGAAGGTTTGGTGTGAGAAGCAAGCTGACCAAGAGAGTCTCTGACTTTGGGAACCAGCTTGTCTGGGGCACAGATGAGGATCTCTCAATAGGAAGGCGAGTCAGGTGTGCTGGAGCAGGATAGCTGAAGCATGCTGGACAGGAAACCCGACCACGCTAAACGTTCCAACAACCCTCATCTCTACAGGTTCTGCTACCGAGCAGCCAGGCTTGTCTGGGACCGTCTACGGACCGGCCCGATATCGGCCCTCCACACCAGGACCGGTGCACCTGGGAACAGATTTTATTTGAATAAGACAAACGTCGGATGCTAAAAGCGTTGGGCATGCCGAGTGTTCCTGTGACCACTGATAATCACCATAATTGGACCTCACAAGTTCAAACCCGCCTGCATTTGTGGCGAAAACGCAGAAGTGACGATTCTGGCAGGAGAAGATTAAGGTCCGGACTAGAACTGGGAGCTAAACCAGCACAATCTCAACCAGTAACGTCAGAGAAAAGAAGAACCGGTTGTTAGAGGAAGCTTGTCGGAGCGCGTTTCAGGTTTACACAACCAGCCGGTCACACGGCACCAGAACTTCTGGTCCAAAATCCAGGCTTTTGTTTACAGACAACATCTGCAGATCAATCAAAGTCCAAACTCCACAGGCTCAGCTAAACTTCCCTCTGCCAGCGTTCCAGGACTCCACATTCACTCGGCTGGCTAAAAGCAGAGCCTTGTTCTTGGAATGCCAGGAACTCCGACCCACTAAGAAAACGCAGGCTGGAAATAAACAGCCCTGTTCTTCCTCTGCTGTGGCTGCTCTCGTCAGCAGGACGGGACCAGAGTCCAGAACCTTGGTGTTCTGGTAGAGCTTCACTCACCTCGGTCCAACAGAACCTCCGTCAGCTGTCCAACAGAACACACCAGGCTGTCTCTCTCTCCGTCGTCTCTCCACAGGAGGAGAAAAGTTTCACTGTTGGTGTAAAGCAGCTTTTCTCTGGCTTCCTATTGGACGGCAGCCTCCACCAATCAGGTGAGCCCCTGAGCCGGGAGCTTCCCTTTCCAAATAGGGGTGGAGGTTACAATCCACAATAACAGCCTGTTGTTCAGCTGATGCATGCCGAACAGAACCGGGTCAATCGGACCAGAACCGGGCTGATCACACTACAGCAGAGCTCCTCTAGGGCCAGAACCGGGTTATTTGGACCAGAACCAGGCTGATCACACTAGAGCAGAGATCCTCTATGGCCAGAACCGGGTAATTCGGACCAGAACCAGGCTGATTACACAAGAGCAGAGATCCTCTATGGACAGAACCGGGTCAATCGGACTAGAATCGGGCTGATCACACTAGAGCAGAGATCCTCTATGGTCAGAACCGGGCTGATCACACTAGAGCAGAGATCCTCTATGGTCAGAACCGGGTCAATCGGACCAGAACCGGGCTGATCACACTACAGCAGAGCTCCTCTAGGGCCAGAACCGGGTTATTTGGACCAGAATCAGGCTGATCACACTAGAGCAGAGATCCTCTATGGCCAGAACCGGGTCAATAGGACTAGAATCGGGCTGATCACACTAGAGCAGAGCTCCTCTATGGTCAGAACCGGGTCAATCGGACCAGAATCGGGCTGATCACACTAGAGCAGAGCTCCTCTATGGTCAGAACCGGGTCAATCGGACCAGAACTGGGCTGATCACACTAGAGCAGAGCTCCTCTATGGACAGAACCGGGTCAATCGGACCAGAACTGGGCTGATCACACTAGAGCAGAGATCCTCTATGGACAGAACCGGGCTGATCACACAACAGCAGAGCTCCTCTATGGTCAGAACCGGGTCAATCGGACCAGAACCGGGCTGATCACACTAGAGCAGAGATCCTCTATGGCCAGAACCGGGTCAATCGGACCAGAACCAGGCTGATCACACTAGAGCAGAGCTCCTCTATGGCCAGAACCGGGTCAATCGGACCAGAACTGGGCTGATCACACTACAGCAGAGCTCCTCTAGGGCCAGAACCGGGTTATTTGGACCAGAACCAGGCTGATCACACTAGAGCAGAGCTCCTCTATGGACAGAACCGGGTCATTCGGACCAGAACCAGGCTGATTACACAAGAGCAGAGATCCTCTATAGACAGAACCGGGTCAATCGGACCAGAACCGGGCTGATCACACTACAGCAGAGCTCCTCTAGGGCCAGAACCGAGTTATTTGGACCAGAACCAGGCTGATCACACTAGAGCAGAGATCCTTTATGGCCAGAACCGGGTCAATCGGACCAGAACTGGGCTGATCACACTAGAGCAGAGATCCTCTATGGTCAGAACCGGGTCAATCGGACCAGAACCGGGCTGATCACACTAGAGCAGAGATCCTCTATGGTCAGAACCGGGTCAATCGGACTAGAATCGGGCTGATCACACTAGAGCAGAGCTCCTCTATGGTCAGAACCGGGTCAATCGGACCAGAATCGGGCTGATCACACTAGAGCAGAGCTCCTCTATGGACAGAACCGGGTCATTCGGACCAGAACCAGGCTGATTACACAAGAGCAGAGATCCTCTATAGACAGAACCGGGTCAATCGGACCAGAACCGGGCTGATCACACTACAGCAGAGCTCCTCTAGGGCCAGAACCGAGTTATTTGGACCAGAACCAGGCTGATCACACTAGAGCAGAGATCCTTTATGGCCAGAACCGGGTCAATCGGACTAGAATCGGGCTGATCACACTAGAGCAGAGATCCTCTATGGTCAGAACCGGGTCAATCGGACCAGAACCGGGCTGATCACACTAGAGCAGAGATCCTCTATGGTCAGAACCGGGTCAATCGGACTAGAATCGGGCTGATCACACTAGAGCAGAGCTCCTCTATGGTCAGAACCGGGTCAATCGGACCAGAATCGGGCTGATCACACTAGAGCAGAAATCCTCTATGGCCAGAACCGGGTCAATCGGACCAGAATTGGGCTGATCACACTAGAGCAGAGATCGTCTATGGCCAGAACCGGGTCAATTTGACCAGAACCAGGCTGATCACACTAGAGCAGAGATCGTCTATGGCCAGAACCGGGTCAATCGGACCAGAATTGGGCTGATCACACTAGAGCAGAGATCCTCTATGGCCAGAACCGGGTCAATTTGACCAGAACCAGGCTGATCACACTAGAGCAGAAATCCTCTATGGCCAGAACCGGGTTAATCGGACCAGAACTGGGCTACTCTCAGTTCTAATGAGTTTTGCCACCAGGTCCAGAGGTCGTCCTGATTAGTGATCTGCACAATGAGGAAACGGCTGAATAATGAATAAATCATTAAAAAAAGGTTATTTATTTATTTCTGCTGTAAACTAAACATGTTTACCTCGCTGATAACTCCACGTCTAATTAAAGAGCAGATCATAAAATAATTACAATCATCGCCTTTAGTGTAAAACGAGCTACTGTCGATGTTCTGGTTACAGATCTCAAACGAGAAAACAATCCTGAAGATCATAAATCTGATTGATTCAGTGTTCCTGCTGCTGAGGTCTGAGGTCCAACCGACTCGCTTGTTCTGGGTCCGAGTCGTCTCAGCTGACCTGAAGGATCCCCTCACGGCCACGGCCGGCAGCTCCGTGGTACCAACGAGACACGAACAGCTGAGCGATGACCTCATCATCACGGGACAATGGACGAGGTCAGGCAGGGCTGTGAGGACAGCCAAACAGCTGTTCGACCAGGATTACGCCAACTCAAACGTCACCTCACAGGGTCCGAGCCACCCTGAGGGACTCCTCGGCCGTATCCCAAAAGCAGCTGTTTGCACAAGAAATCTGGAATTTATCAGTGAAGTGAAACATTCCCAAACAGCGTTCCCCAAACGGAGCTCCACCAACATGACTAAACACTCGGAGTATTTAAGGAACTCAAAAACAAAACCACTTAAATCCAGCCGAGCAACACGACACAAGGCAGATTATTCAGATTATTTTATCTTCATAAATCCAGCTGCTGCCAACATCCGTCCCAGACCTGATCCACTGCTCTCTGCTGGGACTTTAAAACATTCCTGCCCGACGATCCAAAATTAGCCGTCTGCTCTCAGTTCATTAAGCCACTTTCAGGTTCTTGTAAAGCTCGGATCTGCAGACACCAGTTTGCCAGCTCGGACTTGCCTTGAAATACTTGAATTACTTAAAGAGCAAGTCACCCCCAAATAAACTTTTTTTTGCTGATAAACTAAATAAACGAGTGCCTAATGGTGCTGCAGACACGTGTCGTCAATAATTTGGCACTTCAGTGCATCTTAGTTAAAATTTAAATATTCTGCCTAAAACTGGCAGTGTTGTGCCGTCGTCAGGTAAAAACTCTGCACTGTATTCTAATTTAAATCTGCCACCGCTATTGGCTAAGAGGTATGCTATGATGTAAACTGGTACATTGTGATGTCACAATGCTGTTGTGAGCCTGTGTGTGTGTGTGTGTGTGTTAGCAGCTCCGCCCTCTCAGTCTGCCAGGCAACAGCATTTGTTGCATTTTTCAAACATGAAGTGGGAGTGGAGTTAGAATCTGGTAGGGGGTGATTTGCTCTTTAAATACTTTAGAAAAATCTGATCAACTTGGGTCAATATTAAAATCAGGATTATTTGACAGCATAACTCATCCAGCTCAGATTAGTCACACACGACAAAAACAGACAGCTGCTATAAAAGCAGAGAAGAGCTGCTGGAGACACGAGTTTGACCCTCTGGGTGGAAGAAAGTGTTATTTTAAGGGGCATTTCAAAATAAGAGCGTGTTGTTGAAGCTTCTGGTAAAATCCGAAACACAAAAGCCACAAATCCGAGCAAGTTTGAACTACAAGCATCCAACTACATCACAGGCTGCTGTTGCATATATACGGCAGTTACGATGCGCTCTTAGCCGTTAAAAGCATTCCAGACACCGGTTCTATGGCAACAAACACGTCCTGATTAGGAATGGGAATTCTGCATAAACAGACGGATTAACTTCGTATTTCTACAAGAGCTCAGAGGAAAATAAACCTGAGATTTTCACACAAAGTTTCTGCTAGAAACTATCTGATAAAGCTTTACAGAAGTTCAGCAGCTTAAACAAACAAAAGGAAACAAACATCTGAGTCGAGGAACTTCCAGTCGGACCCAAACTTCCTGCTTCTGTCTGAACGTCCAGTCTCTGCAGAGATCCAGACCGCGTTTGATCCTGCTGCAGAACCTCAAACAACCCTGATGACACGTCAGTCCTCATTCTAACTCCGGAAACTAAAAACCAAACATTTAACAACATTAAATGAGATTTGGGCTGTGGAGGCAGAGCAGAACCACTCCAGAACCGGGCCCAAACCAACAACTTCAATCTGGAAAGGGCTTGGACTTCCTGTGGAAACAGGAAGTCCCTCAAACTTCATTCATCTCAGAATTTTCTCAAAAGTGGTGAAAACCAAACATGTTTTAATGCAGAGAGAACGAGATTAGAACGATCAATTCTAATTATTCATTAATAAAATACAAAAACAAGATCAAACCAATTAACACAAAACCACCTTCACTCGTTTGTTTTAAGGTCCGTAAACACATCACGTCCATGGAAGGGGTTATTAAAGTTCATCTGCAGCTGGTATCGGCCCTCAAAACCAGAATCGGTCCATTTATAAATGCAATCATCAAACCAGCCTGGTTCCAGACCCGATCAGCCCGGTGCAGCCGACCAATCAGAGAAGGGCACAGATGTGTTTGAATCTACAGCGTGACCCGTAGCTCCGTCTCTGTGTTCGGACTGAATCCAGTCTCTGTCAGCAGACAAAAACCCGTTTCACCGAACAACAGAACCATTAAGAGCTGCACCAGTTCATCAAGTCTGCAGCCAGAACACTCATCCTGTTCAGAACCCTCAGACAAGAACACAGCTGGAACCGGACTGGGCGGTGCCACCGGGACCGGGTCAGCTGGCTGCTCAAAACCCAGCACCGGTTCTGACCCGGCAGGCTGCACATTTGGGTTTTTACCACCTCAGACTTTGGTTCTGGTTTCTGACCCAAGACCCGCCCAGGCTGGGATTTGCTGCACGGCGTGCCGAAGCGTCACTCATTCCTCGTTTCATCTCATCCGAGACAAACTTCCAGCAAAGAAACCCAGAATCGGAACGCTCTGCGTCAATCCCACCAGGAATCTCTCAAAGCTTTCATCCCAACTCATCATGCCGCTGCTTCAGCTTTAATGCATCAGAAATTTATCTGAGTCAGAAGGAAGCGGGTCAGACTGACGCTGTTTAAATGGTCAAACGGTTCCTCCTGCAGACGGGTCAAAGGTCAAAATCAGAGCGTTTTAGAAATGGTGCACAGGTTCAACTCGGATCAAGAGTCTGAATCCTTTAGAGGGAATCGGGGGAAACAACTTCAGCTTTTAGCGGTTTGTAAATAAACAAAACTGAGGCTCCCGCCTACTTGCTGATGTTAACACGACTGAAGGTGCTGATTTCTCCAGCGCCCTGAAGCACCCGTCCAGGAATGCTGCACATTCCTAAAAGGATCTACAAGATGGAATGTGATCCTGCTGCAGGTGTGTGCTCAGATTACTTCACCCTCCAGTTTTAAGTCCGAGTTTGTAAAAAAACAGAAATGTGGCGAAAACACCGGGTCAAGCTAAAGCTACGGAAGCGCGTTTACCTGGGCAGGTGCTGTTCACGTGCACGGTTTGAGCCATGGCTGCAGCTGCGCTCCCGGTCCCACAACTAGACTCGCTGCGGTCACGCAACAGGCATGCAACAAGTCCAGATTACCATGCAACCTGCGAACATGAGACAAACCACAGATTAGGTTAGTGATGCAGATTAAACGGGAGCTTGTTACACACAAATGACATCACAGCCGTTAGAAATGTTAAGTGTAATCCAATGAGATTTTTTTTCCTCCCAGGATTATTTTGTGTAAAGTCAGCCACCTGCTTGAACTCCACAGGGGGTACGGAAAGTGTTCAGACCACCGTCAGGTTCCCACCCTGTTATGTTGCAGCCGCTTGCTAAAATCTGCAACATTCATGTTCTCCTCATTAGCGAACACACGGCACCGCACATGGACAGAAAAACACTGAACTTTAGACATTTCTGCAGATTTATTAAGAGACTCGGAGTGGAACCGCTGCTCCTCCGGATCGAAAGGAGCCAGTTGAGGTGGTTTGGGCATCTGGTCAGGAGGCCTCCTGGACGCCTCCCCGGGGAGGTGTTTCGGGCACGTCCTGCCGGCAGGAGGTCCCCGGGTCGACCCAGGACACGTTGGAGAGGTTACATCTCCAATCTGGTCCGGGAACACCTTGGGGTCCTGCCGGAGGAGCTGGTGGAGGTGGCCGGGGAGAGGACGGTCTGGAGCTCCCTAGTTGGGATGCTGCCCCCGCGACCCGGACCCGGATAAGCGGAGGAAGACGACAACGATTTTAACCAATCACGTGAGATTTGAGCGGTTTGCCTGCCCTCGCTAAACGCCATGCTTAATAAAATGACCAAACTAGATACAGTGTAGTTGTGGACATTAGGGATTTTGTGTCAAAACATTTTAATAGGAGGTTTTTCACCGGTGGCCTTAATCTAAATTAGAAATAATACCCTTGTAGCTGTTTTTCCTAGTTACAGAAATGAACCAAGACCAGTTACAAGAGCCAGAATCAAAAAGGGGAGATCCACAGTAATGGGCGTGTCCGCACGAGTTCCTTCACTGCTAATGAGCTGCTACTCAGGGACGACGTTTATGGATGAAAATGGGTGTAACGCTCAGACGTATGTGGGTAGAGTCTAGGCGCAGCTCCCCATCGCCAGCTTAAACTAATCCTTTGAAGTTGCTGACCCGGGTAATACTCAGCAGGTTGAAGGGTCTGGACCCGTGAGACAGAGAGCTGGTCTCGTGTGATTTTCGGTCCTAGCCGGTGAGATCGTGAGCTCGGGATTCAACAGCGCACAGCTAATGGTTCCACCAACGTTCAGCATCCAACCTGACAGAACTGGAGAGGAGGAACGGCAGAGGATCCCAAAATCCAGGTGAAAGAAACTTGCTGCATCTTTTCCAAGAAGACTTGTGGCTGCTTTGGCTCAAAATTAAATGCTGATCAATGGATCTGAATACTTTGGACCGTGTGATATTTCAGTTGGTCTTTTTAATAACTCTGCAGAGATTTCTACACTTCTGTGCCTTTCTGTCGATACGGGGTGCTGTGTGTACATTAATGAGGAAAAACATGAATTTAATTGATTTAAGCAAATGGCTGCGATATAACAGAGTGGAAAACTGACAGGGGTCTGAATGCTTTCTGTACCTACTGTGTTTGATCAGCAGAAGGAAACTCCATGAGAAAAACAGGCCAGGTTTTATTTTTCAATCACAATAAAAGAAAAAATCTGATTTTAAAACTCTGAACTAGGCGAGCTCAGCTTCCAGAAGCACAACATTCAAGCAAAAAGTTTATTATAACCTGTAGGGGTGTACAATACATCAGCACGAACATCGGTATCAGCCGATTTTTTTTTTTTTTTTTACATATGGTAATCGATAGATTACCATATGTATCCGAATCGATAAATTCGATGAAAATCGATTACTAAAAGCGTTGGCAACGAATTGCGTCATCGATTCGTTGTGTCGCACAACTCTTCCAAAAGGGTTCAGTTGCTTTCATGTGGCCTAATGTGAGTCTATGTGGGATCACTGGAATGATCAGCAGCATTTCTTGATGTGACTTTATGGCAGTTGCCCAGGGCATCATCACAAGGAGGATGGCATTCATTTACTTTTGTTTTATTTGGTATTTTTTCAGTCATTTTTGGAAATATTGATTAATTTTGATTAATTCACAGCCTATGTTTAATTACATTTAAAATTTAGTTGTTTGACATCCCCAGTTATAATAAATGTCAACAGATGAGATCAAACAAAACAGATGAGAATTGCCCTTAAGCTGTTTAACTTGGACCAAGCATTTTAGGTCACAGATAGGTGTAGCTTAGGGTCTCTGTCTATACACCTTATAAGACAATTTAGGTGATGGCATGTTGTTTTTCTGCTATTGAACTGTTTTCTAATAATGTTGTGTTAAATAAAGTGAAGGAAGGAGAGAAATAACGTTTCCTTAGCAGTTTTTAAAAATTTCCCCATGTAATCCGATTAATCGATTAATCGTGTCGAGACCCCATCCGATTCATCGATTATCCAAATAATCGTTTGTTGCAACCCTAGTTATCGGTCCATTTAGTAAATCAATATGAACAGATGTGTTCCTGTTGCCGTTTCCCCATCGGTGCATCCCGAAACTTTTATGGTAACCCATTAGAGTGAGAAACCATATTTAGAGACGTGTAGGTCTTTATCTGCAATAACTGACCTCCCTCTCTCCCCGGCTCTGCAGGAGCGGCAACACAAACAAGTCCAGCTGTTGGATCGAGAAACCGTAACGACGTCCTGAACCGATCCACAACGTGTGTGTGGCGTCATTCTGCCCCTTCTCTGCAGCTCACATATCGTTGTTTACACTAAGCATCCAGAAAAAGCAGTGCAGAGAGAGAGAGAGAGAGAGAGAGAGAGAGAGCGAGAGAGAGCAAGAGAGCGAGAGTGTGTGTGTGTGTGTGTGTGTGTGTGTGTGTGTGTGTGTGTGTGTGTGTGTGTGTGTGTGTGTGTGTGTGTGTGTGTGTGTGTGTGTGTGTGTGTGTGTGTGTGTGTGTGTGTGTGTGTGTGTGTGTGTGTCACAGGAACCAGATCAATCAGAGAACGAATCAATGGAGAACACCCAACAGACTGAGGTCGGACCTCCAGGATCCTGCCAGGTAGCCGATGTTTAAAAAAGGCTCCAGTGCTGAGAAGTTAATTTAGCATATAGAGCAGGAAGAGGAGCTTGTTCTTTCAAAGTAAAAGCCCCAAATATTCTTAGAAGTCTAACAGAAGAACATAAAGAACCAACCGGGGAAAATATGACTTATCTTACAGAAAAAGATTTAAAAAATAATAATAAAAGAGACACTATTAATGAAAAAAACTGCAGAAACAGGAAATCACATCAAAGCATTCTGCAGCTGATTCCCAGCAGAGCCTAACCGGATATGCCGAGCAAGCGTTTTAATCACAAATCTGCAGGAAAACAAACAACCAACACGAGGACGTTCAGCTTCATGCAGCTCGTCTGTTATTAAACACACTAAAACACAGAAACTGACCCAACATTTCCTACAAGTCCGGTTCCATAAGCTGCTAAAACTCAGACCTGAGGATCAGAGAAGCAGAACATCAGAATGAAGTAGCCCTTTAAAAACTCAATCCATAAAATCATTTGTGAGACAACAAGAAGAAACGGGGATCTGATCGGTGATTGGACGGGCCGTAACTCGCTCATCTGTGCTCGTTCTTCCCTTTTCTGAGTTTCTGAACTCAAAGATCAGCCCCACAACCAGGAAGTTATAACAAAAACACCTGGGCTCTCTAAATTATGGCTCTATGACATAAATCAGTATCTGCAGGTCAGAGAATCAGAAATTGGTATTGGCCTCTAGAACCAGAACTGGTGCATCTCTGGTTTTTACCAGAAGAGTTGACAGTCTCATCCTCCTGCATGGAAGCTTTTATCAAACACGCTTTAACCGCGTTTCAGATGAACAGTGACAGAACGGAGCTGAACAACAAATCGTTCCAATTCACCGAAACGTTCAGAACTTCTGAACTTTATTGGCTTTACTACTTTTGTCAAAAAACAAACAAGAAGCTCATGTCAACACGAACAGAGTTTAAAAAAAGGGGGATTTGTCACCTTTCTGCAGCTCTTTTTAGAAGAGTCTGAACAAACATGCAGATAAATATACAAACACACAACGGGTCACGTTCCTCCGGTTCTGGTTAAGCTGAGATCTGCGGTTCTTACCTGGAACTCTCATCCCAACGTCCTGCCGACACTCGCGGGTAGCCAACCCGACTGAGCCCAGACCTTTGCCTGCACCCAGCAGCCCTCGCAGATCCGTCTCAGGGCTAAGATTAGAAAACTTCCTCAGATGACAGCCAAACGATCCGAGTCCTATAAGAGGAAACGGACCGGGTGGAACCGAGCACTCCGCTGGGCCTCCAGGTGAAACCCAAGGCCACCAAACGTGGTTAACAACCTGCAGTCGGTCAGGAATCTGCTGCTGATTTACAACGGAGACCTTCTCCTGAGTGGTTACAGATCAACCAGCTCTGGAGCGGAGGGAGAACACCACCCATGTGTTCCTGAAGTTATAAATAATCTCGAGTTTACCCGTTCGGTAGCTTCCACAGCAGCCTGACAGTTTAGGTTCAGATTCGGTTCCTAATCTAATCAAACTAGAAGGTTCCTGGAACAAGATCCTGAAGTGGATCCCAGCTGTTGGCACGGTGGAGGTGGGCTGATGGTTTGGGCTGGCTCTGTTGGAACCTGAACTTCTTTGGACACCAAAGAATTCTAGAGTAAACCAGAACTTCTAAGAGCTTTCCCCGGACGTTTTCTTCCAGAAAAACAACTCTGATCAAGACTTGTGAGCTTTAGAGGAAACCAAATACATTAAAAAAAATGTAAACAGAGCAGAGGCGTTAGCAAACACAAACCAGAACTAGGAGTTTAGTTCTCCTCCGGCGGTTCCTTAAAAATTAAACAAACGTCAGCCTAGAGACGTGTGACTGGTTCCTCGGCTCATAAAGGAGCTTCAGAAACGCACCCTAAGCCCGACTCTTCACGATTTCATGAGGAACCAGATGAGAACGGCTCATGCTGCAAACAGCATCACAAACCAAATGGTGCAAGGACAAGCC